ATCATTTAATCTTTAGAATCTTTAGTTGAGGTAAAAGATTATTTTTTTCCCGCAAAGATATCTCCCAAAAAATACTAAGACATTTTTACAACATTCAACAGAACAGATTTGCAAATCCCTGTCTTTGCTGATCAAAAACATTTGGCAAAGATCCAGGAAGTAGAAGGCAGAAGGTCAATTTAGTACACAAAACACTTCCTGTGCAAAGTTACTACCCTCAATCTCAAGAGCAAAATAAGGACAACCCATTAAAAATTCATTTGGAAAGATCAGAAAGGGAGAGTAACTGAACACAGGGTTCTGGTGTAGTCTGGCAGTGCCAGGTTTCTCTCCAAATAGCTCTCTTCCACTCCCAATCCTAAGATGGATAACAGTCAGGTCAGGCAATTCAAGTCTAATGCACCATCATCTAGTGTTCCCTTTATTTGACTTAAAAGGAAGACTCATTTAAGATTAAACTCCCAGCTCTAGAAAGCTCAAAATCATATACTTAGGAAAGGCTTAAGGCTGGAAATGTGGAAGTGCAAAAGTTTTTGTTGTTCCTAAATTAGCATTTCTGGCCTGGGAAGGTGGCTCAGTGGTAGAACGTTTGCCTTGCATGCATGAGGCCGTGGGTTCAATTCCTCAGCACCACATAAGCAAAAAAGAAAAAAACCGGAAGTGGCACTGTGGCTCAAGTGGTAGAGCGCTAGCCTTGAGCTGAAGAGTTGAGTGACAGCGTCCAGGCCCAGCGTTCAGGCCCCATGACCGGACCAAAAAAAAAGAAAAAAAGAAACTAAATTAACATTTCTTTTATATACTCTAGTTTCTCTTCAGATCATATAAATCTCTTACCTTTTATGAAATTAACATTTTTTACTATTTTACAAAATTATCCAACATAGGACTTAAATAACCATTAACTGCCACGTAAGTATATCATTTATATATACTAAAAGATTTACCATATTACATATTGAATCACAAAATATACTAAAGCTCTCTGCTTCTAACTGAAAAAAAGTGCAACCAGAGGTTCATGTCTTGATGTAAGTTAAACACCACTGGAGTAAAAACCTGCTGGTAGACAGGAGGACCAAATGAAGCCCCAGGACTTGCAGCCCAGACAGTTTTCCACTAGGCACAGTTGTTATCAGTGAGGGGACACAGCCTTTCTCCTTCACCCTACTCTTTTTCTTTTAGTTATTAATGGCTTATTATTTCAAGTCTATGATTTTACTTATTACATATAGAAAGTAGATTTTTTTTTAAGTTTCAAAAAATATTTTCCCCCTTAGGTGGATTATATTAAGTCATGAAGAAGCCGGGTGCAGGTGGCTCACACCTGTAATCCTAGTGACTGAGATCTGAGGACTGTGGTTCAAAGCCAGTCCAGGCAGGAATGTCCGGGAGACTCTGATCTTCAACTAACTACCAGAAAACTGGCAGTGGCATTGTGGCTCAAGTAGTAAAGTGCTTGCCTTGAGCTGAAGAGCTCAGGGACAGTGCCCATGCCCAGAGTTCAAGCCCCATGACTGACAAAAAATAAAAATTAAAAAAAATAACAAAAAGATATGCAGAGCCAAATTACTCTTTGGATTTTATTATGTGAGAAAATCAACCCATGGTCTTGTCAAGCAACTGTGATATTTATATTCTACTGCACAGATATGCTTATCCTCCCTTGTTTATACTTTAGGGAAAGCCTGGCTGTACATGAAATTCCAGAGAGACAGCAAAGAGGTGAGAAGGAAAGAAGCCAGGCTATATCACTACGAAATCAGAACATGGCTTTGGTATTATCTCTCAGCTATCACTAGTTATAAGCAGCAGTGGGGGTGGATCTTAGGACCAGGCACAAAGCAGAGTGAGTCTGAGTCTGTCCAGACACAGGTTCTAATTCTGATCCTATTTAACCCACCTCGGGAGTCCTTTCATTCCTACAAGCCTTCATTTCCTCATTCATTTAATTAGTAATTCTTGATTGAGTACCTACTATGTAGGTAGGTTTACATGTGTCAGGATATGATAGTGAGTGGAATAGGAATGTAAACTCTTTCTTTTTTTTTTTTTTGTTGATTGTGGGGCTTGAACTCTGGGCCTGAGCGCTGTCCCTCAGCTCTTCAGTTCAAGGCTAGCGCTTTACCACTTGAGTTACTGCGCCACCTGTGGTTTTCTGGTGGTTTATTGGAGACAAAAGTTTCATGGACTTTCCTTCCTGGGCTGGCTTTGAACTGAGATCCTCAGATCTCAGCCTCTTGAGTAGCTAGAATTACAGGCGTGAGCCACCGGCACCCAGCTGTAAACTCTTTCTTTGTTTTTTTTTTTTTTCGGGGGTCCGGTCATGGGGCCTTAACTCTGGGCTTGGGCGCTGTCCCTCAGCTCTTCAGCTCAAGGCTAGCGCTCTACCACTTGAGCCACAGCACCACTTCCGGCTTTTTTCTTTTTGCTTATGTGGTGCTGAGGAATCGAACCCAGGGCCTCAGGCATGCAAGGCAAGCGCTCTACCTTCCCAGCCCTAAGAAGGCATTAATAAGTATCATGACAGATTGAAGCAGAGCATGGCTAAGGGCGGCTGGTATTTAAAAGAATGCTGTTATACCAAATAATTTTGCTTTTACATGCTTCTGTGGTAGTGTCATGCCTGAAAAGATGTTGTACAGAATTAGTTTGTTTTTGTTTTTTAAACTAGTCATGGGGCCTGAGCTCTGGGCCTGCCACTGTCACTGTCCCTCAGCTCTTCAGCTCAAGGCTAGCGCTCTACCACTTGAGCCACAGTGCCACTTCTGGCTTTTTCTGAGGAATTGAACTCAGGGCCTCATGCATGCAAGGCAAGTACCCTACCACTGAGCCACTTTCCCAGCACCTGCAGAACTAGTTTTGGGGAAAGTGAGTAATCTCATCAGAAGAAATGATTCTGCATATCAAATATTACCTTTAGATCCTATTTAAGGAACACTACTCCATAATGACATAAATCAACTAGAATATTTTGTTAAATGAAAGGCAGAGAAGAGGTTAACTTTTTCTTTTATCACAGATGAATTAACTTTAGATTTCTGTCCTACATTCCAACTTGCCTAAATAAATGTAGTTCTAACCATCAGGTAACCAAGATGTAAGTTTAAATCCACTTGTGATGATTAAAAAAAAATCACTGGTAGGGGGCTGGGTGTGGTGGTAATCCCAGCACTCAGGAGGATGGGACAAAAAGATAACAAATTCCAACCTAGTCTGGACCCTGTCTGGTGGAAGGGGGTACAAAACAAAGTATCAACAAAAACTAATCTAGGCCCACACAACTTTATTTCTAGGGCCTGTAAAATTTAATTTTAGCAGACAATCACGTGAGGTCAAGTTCAATTACAAAAAACGGTCTCCTCTTGACAGGCTAAGATGTTTGAGACAATCCATGTAAAAAGAATCTAAGGAAGGAGGTAGTTTCTCCTTTCGTTAAAGTCTTTCCCAACCTCCAGTAGATCAAGGGTTGCCTGCTGGGGAGAGGTTTCTGGGGATAGTGAGCTCCTTACAAAAATAACAGCATTCATTGTTCCTTTATAAAGGCTTACATATACCTAGATTGGTTGGCCCTTGATGTGGTTTGTATCAGTAAACCTATACAGTAAGCCTGGAGGCAGATATATTAACAGCATATTTTACAGACATGAGTCAGACATTATTAAATAATTTGCACAAGGACACCAAGCTGGCAGATCAGGAGTCAAAACCTGACTCGGAATCCCAGGCTCTTAATTACAATGCCATTTGGCCCAAAGATTCAATAAGCACTTACTGGTACCACTGCAGCAATTTCAGCATCAGACTGCATGAAGTCTGAATTCTCCATCTAAGTATTATTTGGCAAGTGCTGTGAATTTTTTTTATCAAAAAGCACTGGCTCCTAAAATCTTATTACTTCTCATAATTATACCAATTATGAGTTTGTTGCCTTCCCCCTATTTTTCTATTTTCCTACTATGAGGACAAGGGACATTATCTGAGGTATCTTTCCAATGAGATCTGTTCTGTAACTGAGACTCTAAGCAAGAACAAACAAAACCTAGAAAAATGTTCCTATCACCTACATTGTGGACTGGTAAAATGATCTTTTAAAATACAATTTTATTGTTATCGTTGAGGTGTTGTATAGAGGGGTTACCATTTCATACATCGGGTAATGAGTTCATTTCTTTTTTGGACAATGCCACTTCTTCCTTTGCTTTCTCCCGGTTTCCTCTTTCCATCTCTGACCAATGGCGAATTGATTTTTATCTTTTGGTTGCCTTAAAAGAGTTGAAGGAGAAGCCGGGCATCGGTGGCTCACGTTTGTAATCCTAGCTACAAATGAGGCTGAGATGCGGTTCAAAGCCAGCACAGGTGGGCAAGCCTGTGAGACTCACCTCCAAATAACCACCAAAAAGCCAGAAGTGGAGCTGTGACTCGAACTATAGAGAGTGAGCCTTGGGGGAAGTGGGGGGAGGGAGGAAGCTCAGGGAGAGCACCCAGGTCCCGGGCCCGGCACACACAGACACACAGACACAGACACACAGACACAGACAGACAGACACAAACAGACACACACACACACACATACACACGGTGGAGGAAGACTATTTCAGAAGTGTATGATCTGTAGGTATGTGGGGGAGGGAGCCATTGGGAACGTCCAGTTTTTACTCTGGTCTTGTCATATCTAGCCCTTCGCTCGCGGTATAGCGATCACAGGTGTGCCTTTCTAAGCTCCTTCAGCTCAGGTAACGCTTTCACACGCGATCGCGTCCTCGGACTTCTGCATAGCGCTTAGCACGTGCGATGCCGACGAGCTACTCGTGGGAGGTATCCAGGGCCGACCTGATTCTCTCTCGGGTCCCTCTGTCTTTCCCCCCGGCTCAACTGGGCGTCGGGTCAGACCGTGAGCAGACAGACAAATCGGCTGACTTGAAAACCCACGGGGCCCTCTAACTGTGGGGAGCCGCACAGCCTCGGAGGGCAGAGGGCAGGGGGCAGGGGGCAGAGGCGGCCTAGGCCGGGCGCCCGCCCCGGCGCCGCACTGACCACGCATCGCGCGCCTTCTTGGTCTCCGGACAGGCGCAGCAGGGTTTCAGCGGCTTCTTCTCCGGCGTCGCAGACGGGGCAGGGCTCGCGGCCGCCAGACCCGGCATTTCTCCGGACGGAAGCAGCTGTGAGCGTGAACACCACCACCTCTCCCAGCCCCGGCTAACGCCGACCCACAGGCCACTTCCGCAGTCGCCCCAGAGGAGGCAGGAAGTCCAGCCTCTCCCACAGAGGGCGGGGCCAAAGGTTGGCGGAGAAGAGGAAGAGGCGGGGTTTAGGTCTTCACGAGAGCGCATGCGCAGCTTTCTCTTCTGTTTCCTTTCTCTTCTGTTTCCTTTTCTCTTTTCCTCTTCCTCTCTCCCCTCTCTCTCTTTCTCTCTCGCTTCCCCTCTCCCCTCTCCCCACTCCTTTCCTCTCCCCTCTCCCCTCTTCCCCTTTCCTTCCTCTCCCTTCTCCTCTCTCCCCTTCCCTCTCCTCTCCTCTCCCCTCTCCTCCCCTCTCCTCTTCCTCTCCCCTCTCCCCTCTTCTCCCCTGTCCCCTCTTCCCTCTGATCGTGTTAATTGGGGTACTGTAAGGCTGCAGAGACTTGGCAACCCCTCTACCTCCCAGGAATGTGGAAACTGAAGCCCAAGAAAGCTGACCCTCCTTGCTTCTTACTGACCCAATTAAAAATGAGTAGAAAGGACATTTGAACAATCCACAAGTATTGTCAGGGAAAAAGTCTTTTAATCTGTTGGATGTATTAAATCCTCAGTCATGTGTTATGACTTCCACGTGCTTTTAGTATGGGTTATTCAAATATACTAATTCACTCATGTACCAATTAGTAAAATGGAGAACTTCCCTCGCCTTGGCATTTCTTGAATTTGGTTTGATAGATAAGTAAACTAGTGCCCGAGTAGTGTTGCACCAGTTATTTGCAATAGACTAAGCATAATTCAGCTTTGTTCCTGCAGAGAACTGATTGTAACAATGGAATCCCCACAATGGGAAAGTGGGATAAAAGTGGGGTTCATTCCCTTTGCCAGCCAATTCTCTGCAGGAAAAAATAAAATTATGTTCATCGTATCGCAAGTAACCCCAAGTAGCTGGGATTACAGGCGTATGTCACCATGCGTGCCTTTCATATTTAAAAGCAGGACTGCAAGGTATAAATATTTGTGGTGCTCAGAAGTAATGTGCCCCCTAACCAGTGTGTTTTTATATTTCAGAGTTTCAGCTCATGGAATCTGTGGGTATCTGTGAATGGTGTTGCAGAGTAATTTTCTACATGTATATTTTCAAATTTATTAACTCATACTCATTTTGTCATTAGAAAACTTAATCAGCATGATTTTGGTTTAATTTTGGATTTATATGTTGGCTAATATGACATTACCCAAATGTTCTCCTTTTTGTTTTTGTTTTTGTCAGTCGTGGGTCTTGAACTCTGGGCCTGGGTGCTGTCCCTGAGTTTTTCAACACAAGGTCAGCACTCTACCACTTGAGCCACAGTGCTTCTTCCAGTTTTTGTTGGTTTATTGGAGGTGAGAGTCTCACGGACTTTTCTGCTGGAGCTGGCTTTGAACCGCGATCCTCAGAACTCAGCCTCCTGAGTAGCTAGGATTACAGGCATGAGCCACTGGTGACTGGCAATATTCTCCTTTTTAAAAATTAAATTTAATTTATTTTTTATTATCTTTAGGCAGTTATACAAAGGAATTGGCATTTAACAAAGAGGTCTATGAGTATATCTTGATCAATGTCATTCCTTTTAACATTCTTATCCATCCTTCTTCTGTGTATTCTTTCCCTCACTCTTCTTAATTTTGTAGGATATACATTGTTAATGCTCTCCTAACTTCACTGTCATCCACTGTTAGCAATTCTTTGAACTAGATGTAAAATCACATTGTTTAAAATCTTGCTTCACAAATAGTGCTTCTTGGCCTAGTACCATCAACATCACTTATAAACTATACAATACATATGATTCAATAAATCATGAGAAAAAGAAAATAGACTTAACATCTGGAGAAAAATTGACACTGCTACTGCAGATATACTAAAGACCTACTGTATAAAAGATAAGAGTAAGCTTAACAGCAGAAAGCAGAGTAGTATATCTTTATACTGAGAGATAGGAATTACTTACATTTCAAAAACACAAATTGTAAACTTAAAATGTAAATTTTGGTGAAGTTAATTGCACCAAAGTAAAAGTTTGGAATTTTATATAGGACACCATAGAAAAAGTTAAACAAATAGATGTTAGTTGTGAGAAAACATTTGAAATATTTACAATTTTAAAACATTTTTAAAATTAAAAAGTATTCACTTAGAATGTGTATTCGGTTGAAACCACATAACCTTTATTCATAACAGTTTCCCTGTACAAGGGCTGTTGGTTTCATCAGTCATCATTTTATCTTCACAGCAGTTGAAATTATTTACTTTTATAGATGAGTGGAATGAGGTTCAGAGATGTACATGACTTGTTTAAGGTCCTATAACTTGAGAGCTTGCACATCTCCCTAAGTTCTATTTACTATCCTACTTCATTTGACCATTTCTTATTTTAAAATTAATTACTAATCTGTATTTACTTGTATTGTTGAATTCTTATTTATAGTAAATGAACAAGGAAGAAAAGGAAGAAGAATATCCAAGAGAATTTAAGGAGTTACTAGAGTTGAGATTGACATTAATCATTGACCAAATTTAATCACTTATATTAAGCCACTTAATTATCTTCTTGTTTTAGAATGGCTATACCCAACCCCCAGTTTACTTTTCCTTCTACCTTTTAATTCTTGACTAAGTAAGCCTCACAGTCAACTTTGATTTTCACATTACCATCATGCTTTACTTATCTTGCTCAGCTTGATTTCCTGTAGACTTGTTGGAAGGTCTGTTTTGGTATTAAAGGGAAAGTGAGAATATAAAACATGGAATTTATTGTTTCCTATTCCACTCCAAGGGAAAAAAATCGCAATAATCTGTTGCCTCCAAGAAAAAAAAATACAATTTTTAAAGAGCTATAATTATTGATCAAATTGGAAGTCGGCAGCATATGAAGATTAAATAGTAAATGAGTCAACCATTTATTTTATGAGTGTAATTTATGAAGGTAGTTTGGTTAATGCTGTTAAAAAAACAAGTTCTCAGGGCTGGGAAGGTGGCTCAGTGGTAGAGTGCTTGCCTTGCATGCATGAGGCCCTGAGTTCGATTCCTCAGCACCACCTAAGCAGAAAAAGCTGGAAGTGGCACTGTAGCTCAAGTGGTAGAGGGCTAGTCTTGAGCTGAAGAGCTCAGGGACAGCACCCACGCCCAGAGTTCAGGCCCATGACCAACAAAAAAAAAGAAAAAAAAAGTTCATTTCTCAATTCTGATTTGAATGAGCATTACAAGTAAGGATGGGTTGTTGAAATTGATAGAGAAGGAGTGACACCATTTGTCGAGAGAGAAGAATTACAAGGTTTAAATTCTCATTTGCCTAGTTCATGGGTTAACTTTGTATAACCTACTTATAAAACTAATTGAAGTAATTTTTGCATGGTCTTTACATATCTACCTTTCTGGGGGGATCTTTAAAATACCTCCTGGGTAAATATGTGCTAAATTACATTCTCTACAGCTTTTCAAGTTCCTGAAGAAGCTGAGATTTTACTTGTTTGCCAGTTTAATGACTGCTGGCAGCCACCAAATTAGAGTGACAGATAAAAGACAGTTTATTACTAACAACAGTAGCAGCAGGATCAGCAGCTGTTTTGTGCCATTTCCTAGAGCACCAGTTCCCACAGGGTGGTATGGAAAAGGTCAGACAATGTCTGAGCTGCATTACAAGAGGAACCCAAATGGGCAGAAGGTAAGAGATAGTATCTCCCTTTAAGCAAAAGGAGACCTTGGGCTCATTTCTTCCACACACATTGAAACACGGGCAGGTGGCACTCCTGGCCTCACCAGGCACTCAGGACCCCAAAAGCCCCGGGAGAACTCTCTCCCAACAGCGCCAAATAACTTTCATCTCAATTCAAGTTTTTAACTAGGCCCCTTCTTGGGTACCAAAGCTCCTTTTATACAAGTTGGCTAAATGACACAGAAGCTAATTTTATAAAGACTGCATATTAGTCATTTACTGTTGTTACGGTGGACTTAGTTTGTGTTCTCCCCAAATTCCTATATTGGAGCTCAAGTCCCAAATTGATGGTATTTGGAGGTGGGTCTTGTGGGAGGTCATGAAGATGGATGCCCAGGAGCAGGTGAACACCTTTATAAGAAGAGAGAGAGACCAGAATTCTCCCCATCCTTTCTACTCGGCTGATAGGAAAAAGAGGAAGAAGGCAATTATGTACAAGCCAAGAAGAGTAGGAACAGAACTGACCAACACCTTGACCTTGGTCTTCCTGGCCCCCAGAAATGTGAATATTATTGTTGAATCCACTCAGTGTATAGCATTTTGCTTTAACAACCCAAGAACACTGAGCTAGTCCAATAATATGACCACAATGCCAGTAGTAACACACAAAAAACTTCTCTCACAATCCAGGAATCTGGACATAGTATGTGTGTGTGTGGGGGGGGGGTCCTCTGATTAGCAGTCCACAAGATTGCAATGAAGACTGGTAGAGACTGGTTTCTTCTGAGGTTCTAGTGGGGAAGATTAGGTTTTCAGTCTTAGGTTGTTGGCAGAATTCCATTTCTTGCTACTGTAGGACTGTGTACTTTCGCTTTAGGCTGGCTGTCAGTTGGAGGCTAGAATGCTGAGGGTCCCCTTAAGAGCCTGTCTACTGCAGGTTAATTATCTAAAGGTAAGCCTAAGACTGCATAAAATATATTCACAAAGGAAGAGAAGTTAGCAAACACACATATATGTTTGCTTTTGATTCCTGACTGCAGAAAATTTCTTCAATTCTAGATTTTGAGTCCATAAACCACAATTCAGAACACCCACAAATTACCAAGATAAAAAAAAACAAACCTTAATTTTAAAAGACCTGTAAAATTTTAAAAGTGTGAGTCAGATTGAAGTGGAAGTTTTGTTTTGTATTCTATTTCTTATATTTTAAAAATTACTGAGTTAATGCATGTGTATTGAATATATATTTAAGCAAGTGCATTGAATCTTTGACAGGCATTCCTCTTTTTTACCTCTACATTTGTCTAGTGTATGCTCCAAGATTTTAAGATAAATATCCAATATTAGTCCTGGGTAATGGAATCATCGTGATATGCAATGACAAAAATGGAAAAGATGGTAAGATGGTTGTATTTAGGGAAGAATACTGTCAATATTTATAGAGTGTACTAGCTACTAGATTGTATTCTAAGTAGACATTATGATCTCTGGTATTACTGCTACATTTATTGATAAGAAAAGTGATCCACATAGGTATTTATTGCCCAAAGTTATTTACATGGTAAATTTTAGACCTAACTTTAGACTTAACCCAGGAAGTCTAATTCTAAAGCTTATGCAGTAAATTATTGTACTAGAGTCTCTACAGTATAAGAAAATGTCACAAATTACTCAAGAGAAATTAAATTTGATTAGATGATGCTTGGCCATTTGAGATACTAGGTCCTAAAGCTTGTGGGACTATGCCATGGACAGTGAGATGGAAGTGGAGGCCCATGGAATGGGCCCGTGGCCCATTCAGCCTGAAAGCTATGGGTGGATTCAGGGTGAACAGGACATTTGAAGTCTCTGGTCTCACAGAGCTTACATTATAATGGGAGGAAATTAAATAAATAAGTAAACATAAACATTGGAATGGCATACAAATAAATCAAGAAGCTGGGCGCTAGTGGCTCATCATCCTAGCTACGGAGGCAGAAAAATCCTTGAGACTCTTATCTCCAATTAATCACCAAAAAAGCTGGAAGAAGCACTGTGGTTCAAGGGTTAGAATGCTAGCCTTGAGCAAAAGGAGCTTAGGGACAATGTCCAGGCCCAAAGTTTAAGCCCCACTATTACCAACAAAATAGATAGATAGATAGATAGATAGATAGATAGATAGATAGATAGATAAATAGATAGATAAGATGGGGCTGGGAAGGTGGATTAGTGGTAGAGTGTTAGCCTAGTGTGCATGAAGCCCTGGATTGATTCCTCATTACCACATAAACAGAAAAAGCTGGAAGTGGCACTGTTGCTCAAGTGATAGAGGGCTAACTTTGAGCAAAAGAAGCTCAGAGACAGTGCGCAGGTCCTGAGTTCAACCCCAGGATTGACAAAATCAAATCAAATCAATCAATCAAGGCCACAACATAGTGTCATTCAATGTTTTTGTGAAGAGTGCAGGGTCTTGGATAATAATTTATCTCATGGGGGAGTGAGGAAATTCTTCCTGAAGAAAATGTTTTAGCTGAGCTGGGGTGATGAAGTGCTATGGAATTGGGTGTTGGGGGAAGACAGGAGCACAGGCCATTCTAACAAAGACACGTGGGCCCTGAGAAATATAGCTATATTCACCCACAGAAAAATAGGAGACCATTATATTGTATTTTCCACTATGCTTGCTTTCTCCATTTACCAGTGACCTGTCCAAATTAATTTTTAATACTATTTTGTTTAATAGACTCTCAGGAAATGTATTTAATAAATGGATAGATCTATCCATTTAGTTTTTTTTCCCCCAACTTTCATGTATCAGGTACTTCAAAGGTTCAAAAAAAAGAAGGCCAAGTGTTCACACTTGTCACTTAATTACTTAGGATGCTGAGATCTGGAAACACAGTTCAAAGCAGCCATGGGAACAAAGGGCCTTAAGACTCTTATCTTTAATTAACCAGCAGAAAAGCCCAAAGTGGAGGTGTGGCTCAAGTGGTAGAGCACCAGCCTTGAACAGAAAAAGCCAAACAAGGCTTTGAGTTTGAGACCCAGTACTGACAATAAAACAAAACAAGATGACAGCAACAAAAACCATGTGGAGGCCTGTACTTTCAATGAATTCAAAAGGTGTGAGGAACAGAGTTGGAAACAATTACTAACAGAAGGTAATCCCTACTATTGGTAAGAATGGCGTCTTACTCTATTAGCGGGGGTTGGAGAAATGGCAAAGAAACACAAAATGAGATGTGAGTCTTGGGGAAGGTTAAAAAAACAAAACATGCAGTGATGTTTATTGCACAGTAACTAGCTTCTATTCAGGACCATTGTGATAGGTATAAGGATTGCTGCAGCAGGGTGTTGCGGTGGGAGACACATTGGATTTAACTGTGAATCCAGCAAGGGCAAGTGGGAACAGAACAGGGGTCAGTGGATGGAAAACTACTAAGAGGAAACTTTAGATGAATGTTATGCTTTGGAAAGAAAGTTCTTCTCACTCCCAATGCAAGGCTTGGTCCCAGTGCAACCCAGGTTCAAAGGTGGGGCATTGGGAAATTGATTAGACCATAGGTCCTCCTCTGTCAGGAGGATTAATCCATCTATGGATTCAAAATCGGATTAGATTGTTGGGAGGTATGAAAGTGTAGAAGGTGGGGACTCTTTGGAGGAGGTCTCTGGAAGTAGGCCTTACTCTTTCTCCCTTTCTCTCTCTCCTGTTCACTATGAGGCAAGTTGTGCTCCACTGTCGGGATGGCCTGCCTCACACCAGCGCCCAGGAACCCTAATACAAGGAACAAGAAGGATTCTGGCTACACTGCCTTACCAGCATTCTTGTTAAAGGCAGGCCATGGTGTTTAGGTCACCTGGGGAGTGATGGTGGTGAGAAACACAATCAGGTATGCAGAGTACAAAAAGGTCTGGGTCTGCCAAACTGACTTAGTAGGGCTCTTCACTAAAGCTGATTTTTACAAGGAAGTGCACAGCTGGTCAGGGGTCAAGGTTTAGGAGCTTGTACAAAGGTTTAGAGGTGACAGAATGAGTAGCCAGCTTGCAAAATCCCTAAGGATTTTAGGAATAGAGACAGTTAACACCAGGTACATGCTGAGGGGAGCAGATCACCAAACTCAGCCAGAAATGTCTAAAACTCACATAAAAAAGACAAAGAAGTCACCTTTAAGGAAGGCCACAAGCTTAAGAGGATATTGTGAACATCCTAAAGAATAACCGGAATGATTGATTAAAATATTGGATATGCAAAAATTCAAGCATTTGTAAGATACTAAACAGATTAAAATTTTATGGTTAAAAATTTCAATACATAGCCTACAAAATTAAGAAAAATGGAGTGGGTTGAGAGGCCCGGATGAGAACGTTGGAAAGGGTGACATTGATCAAAATGCACTGTGTTCATAAACTGCTTTGTTGAACAGCAGCTCCTTTGTGTACTGCTTCAAGATAAAAATATTTTTAAAAACTTTATGGTTGACATTGGTCTTTGCTAGAGCACTGACCCATTTCTCTGAATTTGATACTTAAGAGAAAAAAAATCCAGCATTCCCTCTATGATCTATATTTCAGGATAACCAATGAATTGGTTTAAAAAAAACTCTCTTTATAGAAGAATTCCCAAAATAAATAATTTCGAGCAATTAACCTTTCTAGAAGAAAAAAAAGACTTCAGAAATATCAAATGTAACTTGAAAATATTCTTTAAGACTTTAAAAAATTATTCTCTTGAATGGAACAAAGCAATAATAAAAGACATTTTGAATTCAACTGGGAAAATTTACATATGTACTCTTAGACCACAAGTATTTCTTTAATATATAACAATAGTGAAGGTTATTATAGAGATTTCAAAAAACCAATTTGAGATGCAGATTAATTTAAGAGTAAATAGTTATGATTAGGGTTTCTTTTAGAAAAACAGGGAGGGAAAGATGAAAGTAGACTGTCAGAATGTTGATAAATGTTCATTCTGAACATTGGTACTTGGAGGTTCATTATTAGAAGCAGAATTGCACTGGCACCAGTAGCTCATGACTGTAATTTTAGCTTCTCAGGAGACTTAGGATCACAGTTCCAAGCTAGCCCAGACAGGAAGGTCTGAGACTGTTATTTTCAATTAACCACCAAAAAGTGGGAAATGGAGCTTGGCTCAAGTGGTAGAGCACTACTAGCCTTGAGCATGAAAGCTCAGGGAACAGTGTCCAGGCTCAGAGTTCAAGCCCCTGTACCAGCACACACACACACACACACACACACACACACACACACACACACACACACACACACACACACACACAGAATCACTTGCTTATCTTTATTTATTTATTTTTAGGTCCGGTCGTGGGGCCTGAACTCTGGGCCTTGGCGCTGTCCCTCAGTTCTTCAGCTCAAGGCTAGTGCTCTACCACTTGAGCCACAGTGCCACTTCTGGCTTTTTTGTTTTTGCTTAGGTGGTGCTGAGGAATCGAACCCAGGGCCTCATGCATGCAAGGCAAGCGCTCTACCCCTGAGCCACCTCCCAGCCCTGTTTATCTTTACTTTTAATTAATCAACTAGTTAATTAACCTATCATTAAGTAGTTGAGCAAAGGAATTGCCACTCAACAAAGCAGTTTTATGAATAAATGCATATTGATCAACATGACACCTTTTATCATTTCCACCCATCCCTCTCCCCTCAAGGTTCTTAATTTTGAAGGGCACACCTTGAATCTCATGACTCCATTCTCTCCTGGTTCTCCTTTTCATTGTATACACCCCTCCTCTTGATTCCAACCCCCACTTCCCCTACCTTTTTGAATACTCATTTCCTGGTGTTAATTTTGCTGGACTGTGAGTTAGCCTTTCTAAGGAATTACATCGTTTGGATTCTACCCTGAATCTACCATATTTCAGTGAATACACGTGTACGTCCTTTTAGAATCAATAATTTGTATAAGCAGAACCAGTGACTATGTCACAGCTTCCCCAGCTGATCTAATATAATGTCCAAGGCCAACCAAGGCCCAACATTTCTCTTCCTCACTCGACATTCCCGCGGCCTGGCCCCGCCCCTCCATCGGCCCCGCCCCCGACGTCCCGCCCCTCACCCCGGAGCGCCTGCAGTGGTTACCATAGCTACAGCACACACCGCTGCCAGGACTCACTACTGCTGGCGGGAGGCGAGGAGCAGCACCATGAGACGCACAATGACCGTCACCCAGCCCAAGGACCGGCCCCAGGAGGCTCCACACCTGGACTTCAGGAGGTCCATTGGCAGAGGACACATGCCCAATCGAATGTACGATTTCCTGTACGGTAAGGGCTGCCTCAGAACTCCCATCTCGGCAACTTGGCCCTGCAGATGGCGCGAAGGACCACGGAGCCTCTGGACAGAGGGGCTGCCCTGCCCCAGGCTGTCCTTCGTGGGATGGGGCAGCTCCGCGCCGGCCAGGGGACCACGCAGTCGGGGCGCCTGGGGAGCCAAGCCGCTGGTGGCTCTCCAAGCCCCACGCGGGGCCGCCTGGTTACGCCTCGTCACCCACTCTTCCTGATCATTTGCTCGGCACTGAGCCATCTTCCTGAAGCCTTAGTCCAGAGCTTTTGGTGTGCAAAAAGCATGGAATGATTGAGCAGAGTTGGAGATTCGTGCAATATTCCCTCCTTTCAAACTTCATCAAATGCCCAACGAAAACGATCTTCCTGCCCCCATTCTTTGGGCAGCTCCAATTTTGATGTGCTTGGTAAAGAAGTGACCCTTTCCCTCACGTTTGTTTTAGTGGATTCCCACTTCCTCCTTATCCATCAACACATTGCTTATAAACTATGTGCACTGGTTCCTCAAAGGCAAGCAAAGTCCTGATTTGTTTTAATGCCTTGATGGTCTATTTGTGGGCTCTTTTGCCTGAATTTTTAAGTTCCTGAAGGATTCATCTTTAATAGCCTCTTCAAGCCAATTTTCACTACTGTTGCAAATACTGGATACTTTATGGTTATTAATCGACTATTAAAGTTTCTGTTTTAACAAGTGTAACCAACTTTGCCCTCAGTAGTCCCCAGCTGCCTGTCACCTGAGCCTTGCTTTATCTTCAAACATGTAATGTCACCTTTGGAATTCCCAGGGTCTACTTTGGAGGGGCAGCTGTTGGATAAGCATTTTCTGCATTAGGGATTGTAATGATTACTTACATATTCTGGCCGGTGTTCTTCTTTGTTCACTCTTCATTTCATCTGATAAAAGAAAATCAGTAAATTTCTGTAAACATATCCATGTTATTTTTACAAGGTAATTTGGGAATGCAAATAAACCTCTACAGTAACAGCAAGCACAGAATTTATTAGGCCATGTTTCTTTTACAGAGAAAAGAAACAGTTCAATGTCCCTTGCAGAGAACAGAAATCCACTCAGAGCAACCTGAGTGAATTTTATACAATGGAAAAAAACCAGTCTCACTTGACTCATGGCCAGGAAGCAAAGCCTACACAGCAGTCTAAAACCCAGACAGGGAAAGTTGGAACTAGGGGCTCTCTTTCCTGCTTTCGTTCTTTGACCTTATTGTCTTTAATTCACAGGCTTGCCAGATGAGCAAATAAATATAGAGGGTGTGCAATTAAATTTTGAGCTTCAGTTAAATAACATAATATTTTTGTATGAAATTTCATCTCATGTATCTGTATTAAAGAGTTAGTGATTACTTATTTGAAATTCAGATTTAATTGACCATGGTGCATTTTTTTTCTTTCATACCAAGGTTTCAACTCAGGATCTCCTGCTTGTTAGTCTAACACATTCTACCACTTGACCCATGCCTCTAGCCCAGCTTTTTTGCTGGTTACTTTTGGAGATGGAGTCTCTTGGATTTTTTTCTGCCTGATTTGACCTTGTACTGCAATCCTTCTGAATAAGTAGGTTTACAGGCATAAGCCACTGGCAGCAGGCTAGCCTCATATATATGAAGAAGCTCCAGTTTTCTTTTTGGTGCATCTGCTCCCTTCTTTCATTTGATAAGAAGCCACTTGCATTTGACTTTCTATTATTAGGACAGTGGCTTTGTGGTTGTCTATGTAATGTTATTTTAAAGCTAACCACCAATTGTAGAGTCTTTCTGTATCTTAGCTAAAATTTAACAGAGAAGATTTATTCAAGACCAGCCAATGATCTGCATCAGATTTCCATCTGAGAGAAAGAACTGTGCTGGGGGTGGGTATGGGGATCATGGCACAACCATGATCACTTTCAAGCTCCTTTCTCCTACCCCTTGTTTCTTTCATCTACTAGTAATTCTTTCCATCTTCATTCCCTTTTCTTTCCCTTCAGTACTGAGGATTAAGCTCAGAAAGCACTCTACTATTTGAGCAAGTGCCCCTACTTCACTAATTTTGCCTGGGTTGGCCTGGAACTTTCCATCTTCCTGTCTTCACTTCTCAAGTAGCTGAGACTACAGTACAGGTGTGTGACACCTTACCTGACTTCTCATTCTGCTTCATTTGTTCTGGTTTCTTTGTTGTTCTTCAACTTATCAGTCTCTCTCTTGTCCTTTCCTCTAGCTATTAACTTCCTAGTACACTCTGCCTCCAAATGTCCATAAAATTAGCTTCCTCATTTGCAAGCCACTTTACTTGTCACTTCTCAGTGAACCTGTCCTGCTCATCCTAATTAGAAATTGCAACTGTTTTCCTTAATCCATTTCCCTCTTCTTCTAAAAACAGTTATTATTTTCTACCTCTGAGCATATTGTAGGATTTTCTAGCTTGCTATTCTTGTTGCTTATTGTCTCTCTGCTCCTAATGAAGTTTGGGTTTTTCAAAATCTTTTTGTGGAGTTACATGTTCCAAGCCCCTAGGACTACACACCATCCAATAAGTATTGTCGAATAAAAGAAGAGAAGCTGAGACTTGCTGTTACTCAAACTTGTTGGGAATGTCCCATGACAGAGTCTAGGAAGTTGTTTTTGTTTGGTCACCTCAAAATTGTGTTTGGTTTTAGGAACTGATTTAGGTACACAAATTAAAAAAAAATCTAAGTCACAATACTATTTTCTTAATTTCTATGAGGAAATATATGTCACCAAGTGGGTTAGTCTAGTTTGTTTCCTTAGAGATAAGTCTACTTAAGAAATCAAATCTTGATCTGAAGACTGCTTATGAAATTAGTCCCCAGTTAGTTGATTTTAATAGATGGTATAATCAGTTACCAAAACTCGTCATCATTAAAGCTATACCTAAGAAGCAGCTACTTACAACAGCAAGTTAATCTTTTGTTTTATTTTGGAGAGATAAATGAAGCTCACTGACAACACATAGTACTTACAACCTTAAGGACTCTGGGCTTGGGTACTGTCCAGCTCTTCAGCTCAAGGCTAGTGCTCTACCACTTGAGCCACAGCGCCACTTCTGGCTTTTTTTTCTGCTTATGTGATACTGGGAATCCAACCCAGGGCTTCATGCATGCAAGGCAATCACTCTCCCACTGAGCCACCTTCTTAGCCTGCAAATATTTATTTCTTAGAGAATAACTTTTGCTCATTGCATCTACCAATTCTGAGGGGCCATGCTGTTTACATGTTGCCAGTGCTCTGAATAGGAAATGAACTACATGTATCCCTCCACCTGTAAATAGCCACAGTGCATAGACACAAGGGCTATCCTCTTTAAATACAGAAAGTTTTCTCCCGGAGAAGCAAAAGAGATCATGTTGTGCTTAAAATGTGCTAGCCTTTCTTTACATTCCAATTCTGTAATTTTGAATTGACAGGAAAGAAATGTATGTCACAGACCTTTCCTGGTAGGTGAGTCAGAATAACCCGGCCATAGCTGCTGCAGAAATAAAGATTACCTGTTCTGTCTAATTCAGAAATTAAGAACTAGGAAGGTAACACATGTCTACTCCTGCCTACTCAGGAAACTGAGATAGAATGATTATATGAGCCTAGGAGTTCAAGGCCAACTTGGGCAACATAACTGGACCTCCATCTTGAAAAGAAATAAGGAAGGAAGGAAAAGAGGGAGGGAGAAAGGAAGGAAGGAAGGAAGGAAGGAAGGAAGGAAGGAAGGAAGGAAGGAAGGAAGGGAGGGAGGGAGGTAGGGAGAGACCATGGGAAAAGGAAAGGGACTACTTGCTTTGACTTTTTTTTTCATTATAGGTTTAGATATGTTCTATTCCTTATGCTACTTCTTTTGCTCCACAGATCCTTTATTTATTGTGTCAAGTGAAAAAAACCATGTTCAGGCAAATATTCAAGCCACCCTGATTCGAAGCAGAATGGTAAGTCTACTTCGTCTACCAAAGCAATTTAATAAATCTGAGTCATCTCCTTCAGCTAACTGCATGAATCAGATTGACTACTCACAAAATATACATTGAATTTCTAATCCTGCAGGAATATTATGATTACTTGGGTGGAAGGTATGTTAATACTTGTGTCCTATTGTGAAGATGAAATAACTAATAGAAAATAAAGGACCCATAAACTAAGTTATTTCAGTGGAAAATGCATCTGTGCCTGTGTTGGAAACATATACAGTTAGAAGTAATTCTAGTTCTGGCCCTTGCTACATAAACTGCCATTATCACAAATTAACTTGGATGACATTTTAGACATTTTTGTTTGTTTGAGAAAAGGTTTTGCTATGTAGCCCAGGTTGGCCTTTACCTTGAAATCTTCCTGCCTTTGCCTTCAAGCTCTGGATTCTGGGCGTTATCCACTATGCCATACTACTTCTATATGTCTATCAATGGCTCCTTTTCCTGTGCTATATACACTGTTGTTGTTTTTTTTTTTTGAGAAGTTTACAATGTAAATTAAATACTTAAGAAAATCTGATGGTATGATTTTTACTTTTTCCTTCCTTCCTTCCCAATATTAGAAAAAAGTTCCCAGATTTAGAGCCATGTTCAGCAACCTGATCCATTATCCAAGATATTCTCTGTATTGGAACAATGTAGATCCGGTCCCACCATTTATCAGGAGAGAATGGAGGGGAAAGGAGGTAAAACGGAAAGAAGCTGTCTGCAAGATGGCTGAGTAAGTGTTGGGAAGCTCCAGCTACTAAAAGCACATATTTTTAATGAACACATCATTTTAAAAATTATTTATTTACTCTACATGACTAGAAAGTATACAGTTGGCATATAAGCTTCCTTGCCTAAAACAAGCCTGATTAAGGAGCAAGGGTTATATACTTGTTGGTTGGTAGACATTCTCAGAAGGTTGGCATAAATAGTTATATGTATACTAAATGACAAAGACACCAAAGACATGAATGATTGAGTTAGTTGTTCCTTTAATCCACTTAGAGATTGCAAACTATCTTTGTGTGTGTGTGTGTGTGTGTGTGTCTGTGTCTGTGTCTGTGTGTGTCCTGGTGGGACTTGAACTCAGGGCCTGGGCACTGTCTCTTAGCCTTTTTCTCAAGGCTAGTGCTCTACTACTTGAGCCAGGGCTCAATAAACACCTTGCTTATTTTGGTAGTTAAGATTCTCATGGTCCTCCTGCATGGGCTGGCTTTGACCTTTGATCCTCAGATCTCAGCCTACTGAGTAACTAGGATTATAGGTGTGAACCACAGGTACCGGCTTAAAATATCTTTTGAGACAGATAGCCTAAATACCTTTAGTAATAAATCTCATATAAAGTACTTGATTTTAAAATTACTTGCAAGTTTATGTTTAATAAATTAACAAATATGAATGTCTTTCAACGTGAACATCAAAATTACTTTTGAAACTGTTTTTCTTGTGTACTTTTAATTGAAAGTGGGCACTTCTGTATGTAAGATTTCATACATCTGCTTATTTCTCCTCTCTTCTTTTCTCTTAGTAGGCCCTGGTTTCCTGGCTTGGGAGGTGTGGTGTGGGGGGGGGGGAGTAATTTTATCTAGTTTAAACACATGTTACAGCAGACTTTGCTATTAGTATGGAATATTCTATATAGACATAAAAATATTAAGTGGAAATTATATATGGAAATGATAGACTTGAATAATGTTTTCCTGCTTCATTTTAGAACTGACACTTCTTTTCAGATACCTAAAGAAGTTTATGAAGATCCAGATGTGACTGGAAGGAATCGCTATAAATACTTTGAAAGGTAGAAAATAATACCTAATAAACATTTTGAGCCCTTTCTTGGTTAGAAAAGCTCTATGCAATACAGTGGCAGCTATGAGTTCTAACTGCATGTGATATACCATGCACTACTAGATATGGTTAGCATATCTAAGGTAATCCTGCCAACAGCACTGTCAGATAGTTTGTATTAGCCCCATTTCACCAATAGTGAAGCTGAAATGGAGATGGAACATAGGCAGGTCAGTGTCCTGGAAGCTAGCTAGTGGCAGAGCTGGAATTCCAATGAAGCCAGCCTGACTTTACAGGGACTCATTGCAACTACTGAGACTAAAACCAAGTCATCTAATGAAAGGCGACATGGCACTGATATCATGAGGTCATCCTACAGGGAAATTTGTTAAATGTGTTACACTGAACAATGTTGGTTCTCTGTGTAAATGTTGCCAAATAACATAGTGCAAATATTCACTTTCTTTCATTTGTGACCAATACTCATGGATAATCATATATGCAAATCAAATGAGAACAAAGTGAGGATTTTTCTGTAGGCCTTACTTGGATCAATAGAACTGTCTTGGTGCCTCATTGAATAACCTTTTATTAGAAAGTACATAAAACATTTAAATTTTTAAACACATTTATTTCTATTATTCATACAAAGGAGTCTTAAGCTCAGAAGCTGGATGATTAGTACAATGCTAGAAAGGACATTCTTAAGCTACATTAAAAAAAATTATGAGCAACTTCCTTATGGGAATATTTTTTTTTGGATGCCGAACTTTTTCAGAGAAACGTTATTGCAGTGTTAACTACTCAGTTCTTAGAAGCATTAAAACTAAGCCATGTGGCGCTTCAGAAGGTTTCATGGAACTTGAGATGTTGCTGGGGACTAATGGAAGCTGAAGGGCAAGTGGAGAGCAGTTTCTGACAGTGTGACTTGCTCATCCCCTGCAGAGAAGACAACACATTGACTAAGCCTCCTGGGATAGACCAGGAAGTGTTTAACCCAGAAACCCTCATTCCACCCCCTCTGCTATGGTTTTATAGATGCTAAAGTTTGATCATGACTGATATGTAGGACAGTTGACCTCACTGACTTTTTTTCTGTTTATATTTTTTATTGTAAAAATTCTGTACAGAGGGGTTACAGTTACATGAGCAAGGTAATGAGCACATTTCCTATCAAGCATTGTTACCTCCTCCTTTGTTTTTCCCTACCATCCCTTTCCCTCCCCACCTCTCCAACTCCTCACTCCCCACAACCACCCCCAAGTTGTAAAGTTCATTTTCTTTTTTTTTGGGTCCGGTCGTGGGGCCTGAACTCTGGGCTTGCACGTTGTCCCTCAGCTCTTCAGCACAAGGCTAGCGCTCTACCACTTGAGCCACAGCGTCACTTCCGGCTTTTTTCTTTTTGCTTATGTGGTGCTGAGGAATCAAACCCAGGGCCTCATGCATGCAAGGCAAGCGCTCTACCACTGAGCCACCTTCCCAGCCCTGTAAAGTTCATTTTCAACATAGTGTCCTGCACATCTCATTGTTACAATGGGTCAACCTGTATCCTTATTTCAGCATTTTGCTATTTCCTTTCCCCTCCTCAATCAAGAAAATGTGATATACATATACATGTATATGTATATATATGTATATATATATATATATATACACACACACCATGGAATTCTATGCCTCCATCAGAAAGAATGATACTGCCCCATTTGTAAGAAAATGGAAAGACTTGAAAAAAATTATATTAAATGAAGTAAGCCAGACCCAAAGAAACATAGGTCCCATGGTTTCCCTTATCTGCAATAACTAGTATACATCTAGGACAAGCAGAAGAAGTCAAAAGCTATGTACCACATGACATATAACTTGATGTTAGGTGAACACCAAGAGAGGGACATAAGAGGTTTTATCTTTCTTGCTGTTGTTTTTAATCTATTTATAATGTACCTCACTGATTTTTTAAGAAACAATATTAAAGTTAGCAGGAAGCTCAGAGTACACCCACAACAATATCACACTTTGTATTTTCCTTTTCCTTCCAGGCCTTTCCTCCCATATCTTCAAAAGATACCACTCAGTTATATGCTGGCAACAACCAAGTAAGTGGCTGTTATTTCAAAACTCTTTTCAACTTACTCTTTCTTTTCATATTTCTCCCAGAAGATAGTTCTCTTGAGTCAATATTTTTTCAAGCTGTGGATCACAAACCATTCCAAGGTAAATCAGAATTTCCCCAGCCCTTCAGTGGTCTTCCATATGCTAAAGTTTGAATGTTACTGATTACAGAGTTAATATATTTTCAATATGCCAAAGTTGAATATTGGATATTCAAGCTCATTGGTTTTCTATGAGGTCATGGGCAACACTAAAAACAAACAAAAACAAATAAATAAAGAATAGTAGAAAAATAACCAAAGCATCAGGCAGATTGAGGACAAGTTGTTTTTTATACTTTTCGTTTAAGATAAATATATGCCTGTGTTTATATGTATATAGAAGATTGTGATATAAAATGTATTTCTTATTGTGATCTCTCTGTCTGCATTGCTGTAATAAAACACCACCAGCTTGGTAATGTTATCAGTAATACAGAGTTACTTCTCATAGTTCTGGAGGCTAAGGAGGCCCAACCTTAATATTATTAGAATGTGAATAAAGTATGATTTGTGAAGTGGGATTTTTTTTTTTGTCGGTTGGCCTGGGCACTGTCCCTCAGCTCAAGGTTCAAGGCTAGTGTTCTAGCACTTGAGCCACAGTGCCACTTCTGGATTTTTCTGCTTACGTGGTGCTGAGGAATTGAACCCAAGGCCTCATGCATGCAAGGCAAGCACTCTACCACTGAGCCACCTTCCCAGCCCTGTGAAGTGGGATATATCAAACCATAGCAGTTGTTTTACAAAAGGAGTTGGAAACATGTTTTTTTTAAGTTAATTCACTTTATTGTCATTATAGATGTAATATTCAGAGGGGTTTTTACATAGATCAGATAATAAATACATTTCCTTTTGTAGAGTGTCATCGGTTCCCTCATTTTCTCCTATTACTTTCTTCCCATCTTCACCTGCAAGTTGCATAGTTCACTTTCATCAATGTCCAATGTGCTCTACTGCTGCATTTTTCATCCTTTTTCCTCAAATTCTGTGCCCTCCCCCCACCCGGAAACACGTTTTAAGTGGTCTCTTTTGCTTTCCTAGAACACATACTTACTTGACAATTCTTTTAACGTTTACTCAGACAAATAAACCAGCCACGAGATATTTTTGGAATGCTAGAATGTTATAATTGATCATTTGACCTACACAAAGCCATGTGTTAAAGAAAGAAGTGATAGCTAAAACATAGCTCATGGCTACACAGGAAGAAAAGCACAGGACTGAATTTGGGACAAATTAATTTCAGAGCAAGATAGCAAGTGAGGCAGCCTATGCTTTTAACAATCTAGTTATTGCTATGCTCTTTCATACATTAATATGATTTAATATTTTTTAATTTAAATTGTCATTAGAAAGATGACATACAGAGGCCAGGTAATGAGTACATTTTAGTGGAACAATTCTAAAAGGGAAAAAGTAATACAATGCATTCATTAAATGATTAGAAAACCAGTCTTTTTAAAAATTCAAATTTTGAATACAACGACGTATTTAAAGAATATACTCATTCATGGGCTGGGAAGGTGGCTCAGTGGTAGAGTGCTTGCTTTGCATGCATGAGGCCCTGGTTTTTGAGCCTCAGCACCACATAAGCAGAAAAATCCAGAAGTGGCACTGTGGCTCAAGTGGTAGAGTGCTAGCCTTAAGCTGAAGAGCTGAGGGACAGCGCCCAGGCCCAGAGTTCAGGCTCCACGACTGACAAAAAAAAAAAAAAAAAATACTCATTCCTAATGATAGACAGCATCTTTGAATATGAATACAACACATGTTATTAAATGTCTCTAATCTCTAAAATAAATACCAATTTCAATCACACTTCTCCCTGGAGATTTTAAAACTGGGTTTGAGAACAGAGTTCCCATTGTCCCCAGATGGAGCAGCTCTGTGCGGTGCCAGCTTCCCTAGGGACAGCTGTGAACTTGAATCTTGTGAGATGTATGTGTGAGAGAAGGGGGAAGTATTCTGTGATTTTCTTGTAAATCCTCTGGTCATTCTTTGAAAGCAGATTCAGTGGATCACTTGCTTTAAGGTCATCGTTGATGGAGGCTTAAAAGTCGATAAGTAGATAGATTATAGGGAGTTAAAGGCCTGCAGTGATGATCACCCAGCCTTCCCAACCCCTTCTTTATAACGGTGTCATAAGTCATAGAGACTCTCTTCAAGAGTTAAAGAATGACATTTGGTCTTCGGAGCTCTTTTTCTCTTGGAAGGTTTGAAAGAATGAATTGGTATCATTGAATGAAGTGAATACTGGAATTCTGGCATGACTGGGTGTCTTGGTTGTAGGGAAGATTGCATCGTGTGTGGCTGGGACAGGTTGTCCTGAAGCCACACCTCTCTGTGTCTTGGCTGTTGGATGGAGTCTTTGAATCCCACAAATGCACAGGGGCACGGAGAATAAGAAATGTAACTGTGCAGAATACTCAATGATAATACTCATAGTAACAGAACAGGATTTGCTAGGTGTGTGAAGCACCTTTTCATGCTGTTGGGCTGGCAGGGAGAATCTGGAAGATGGTGGGTGTGGCAGAAAGTACCTGCTTCTGGCACCTGGCCTGGAGTGAGCACAGAGCGTGACATGCAAGGGTTCCACAGCTGGAGCATGTGATGTCGCAGGGGCAGAACAAACAGAAAGCAGGTATCTTTTTCTGTGTCTCAGTTCTGGTCAAGGTTGGAAGAGGCAGGAAAGAAAGGACCATAGTTCATTCTCCCTTATTTTGTGTTCCAAATGAGGAAAACCAAAATGGGGGTGAAAGACTAGGTTAGTGAAAATGGGTAAGTTAGGGAAAGTTGTGTCAAAGTATCATTTTTCTTTGACACATGTTTCTTGGAGCCTACAAAGATCGCAAGGCATCAGAAAATTGTCTCCGAAGAGTTCAGTAGGCCTTAGTGTAGTCTGAAGCACATTTCGTCAGGTAACTTCAAATGAGTAATTATTTATTTAGGAAAAAGAATTTCTCTTGCTTCAAGCTGCTAGTATGAGACTATAATAGTCTAGGATGATGGAAAGCCAGTTTGAAATGATGTTTGTCAACTAGAATTTTGTAGTAGAATAATTTTGCTGGAAACATTAAGAATCTGTAAAACATGTTTATTTCATATATACGTTAGAAACCCATAGCAACTGCTATAAAAGTGATTTACTTAGAATTCACTTTTGACATTAAAATTAGAAAAAGTGCTTGCTCCATCATGGGTAGAATCTCCAAATAAGTTTCTTAGTGACTTGAAATGCATTTTTTCCTTAGACTTAAACCCTGACTATGCTGTGCTCTTACCTATGTTCCTGCTAATGCCACTATTTTTCAAAATAGAACTATCTCTGTTTTTCCCATTTTAAACTTATTATTGATATGTTTTAAACAGATCTAGCAAGTAGGAAAAATTATTGTTACTACTTTTGGAGGTAGTGAGGTTGGAATTCAATCAAGGCCTCTCACTTGATAGTCAGGTCCCTTATCTCTGAATCATATCTCCCGTCCAAAACTTACTTTTTATTTTTTTTGATGCTTGTACAAAACTTACTTTTTAAAGGAAAGTAACTATATTTTTTCTTTAGTATTTTTATTTATTTATTTATTTACTTTGGTGCTGGTCCTGGGGCTTGAACTCAGGGCCGGGGTGCTGAGCTTCTTTTCCTCCAGGCTAGCACTCTACCACTTGAGCCAAACCTCTGCTTCCAGCTTTTTGGTAGTTTATTAGAAATAAGAGTCTCATGGACTATTTGGCCCAAACTGGCTTCACACTGTGATCCTCAGGTCTCAGCCTCCTGAGTAGCTAGGATTGCAGGTGTGAGCCACCAGCACCTAGCACTTTCTTGTTTTTAAAACAATACATATATATGATTATAGTTAGTTAGAAAATGTAGACAACTATAAAAGACGAAAACAATTTTTTCTGTAATTGTACTACTGAAAAAAATAGTAGGGATACTATGTAAGTGATTCAGTAACTTTTCTAAATGTTAAGCAACATTAATCATTGCAATCATCATTCAGAAAGAGGCAGCGGACTTACTTGCTTGTTCATCACAGAAAATGTGGCTTTTATTTCCTCTCTTTCTATATTTCTGCAGAGAATCATCTAAATTGGATATGTAACTGAAAGGCACAATGAAACAATTATGAATAGGTCCAAAAGTGTTGTCCATTTTATTTTCTTTAAATTAATATAGTTATACAAGAGGAGTTCATTGTGACATTTCCATACAATTTCCCTGATCCGTGATTTTTTTAAAAGCAAGTATCTTTATCCCAAAACCTTTCCAATGGCACATGGGTAAATACTGTCTAGATAGAGTGACAGATTTATTGCCATTCAGTTTCTTGTTGGAAGTGAGAATAATCAGATAATTCTGTGAAGACTTTGAGGGCATAATCCTGGTTAACTGAATTTATAACTAAGTGAGAGTGTGTTTAGTGAGGTTCCAAGGTTCATTTCTAGATGATTACATAGTGTTTAAATAATCACGATGAGTTTCAAATTTTAAAATACTTTTTTCCTTTTAGGATTGAACCTTATATCCATACTCCTGAAACTACAGAACAACTGCTGCCTATCTCTTTTAAGTCTACAGTGGCCACCCAGACTGATTACCGGGATGCTGATACTCAAACAGACCCCTACTCTCCAGAATATGTAGTGTGTCAGGACACTATCCCAGAGCTCTTGACCCTGGCTACTCTGACATGGGGTGAGTTGGTAATTATCTTAGAGTATTTGGAGATGACAGTGCTCATTGATAGATATGCTGTTGACTTCCTGGTGCACACTCACACACACACACTGACCACTCTGGTTTACAGGGTAAAGAGGTAACCCACAGATCTAGAGAAAACATATACACATTGTACATCAGATAAAACACTAACATTCAAAATATCAGTGGAACTCATACTATTCAGTAACAAGGAAATGTAGCCTAAATTAAAAATGGGCAAAGCACCTTAATAGACATTTCTCAAAAGAAGATGTATGAATGGTTAACAGATGTTGGAAATGAAGGAAACTCTAGAAGGCAACACACAGAGGTAGAACAAGATAAAGGAAAAAGGAGAAAAGGTAATAAGCTCCAGACAGTGAGGCTTGAAGGGACGAAAGAGAAGCAATTCAAGGAAAGATAATAGCAAAGAATTTTCCAGGACTGCAGAAAGGCATGAGCACTGATAAAGAATATTCTACCGAGTAAGAAGCAGGATAGTAGAATAGCACTAGCTTTGAGCAAAAACAAACTAACAAACAAACTCAGTGTCAGTGCTCAGGCCCTGAATTCAAGCTCCAGGACTGGCACCAAACCAAAACAAACACTTTTTAAGAACTCATATCTACTAAGAAAAAAAAATGAAAAGAGGAAAGGGTGGGTGAATATAGTCATGACATTCTTAGTACATATGTGATGAGGAATATTGAGAGATAAGCAGTGATGGTATAGGTGTGGGGGAGGGGAGAAGATGAGAGAGACAACTCCCATTCTGAAGCACTGTGCACATAAGTGGACATGTTAAACTGAAACCCTCTTGTGTAACGATATGAAGATAAATAAAACAGCGGAAAAGAAAAGAGAAAACAAAGAGTGCAGAAACTGTGAGAGGAAAAAGTCATATTTTCCACCAAGGAAAAATACCAGATTGACATTTTATAGTATAACCTTTAAGGTGCTATGAAGAAATAAGTACAAAGACACGCACACTGCTCCTGGAACTTGAATTCAGGGCCTGTCCCCGAGCTTTTCTGCTCAAGGCGAGCACTCCACCATTTGAGCCACAGCTGCATTTCCAGCCTTTTTTTTGTGGTGGAGATAAGAGTTTCAGGTTTTCCTGCCCAGGCTGGCTTTGACTGATTTTCAGATCTCAGTAACTCGGATTATAGGCATGAGCCACCAGTTCCTGGCCAAATCTACACATTGTATTAGATAAATCTCTATGAAAATGAGAGACATTTGAATACATCATGAAAGTATCTTGAAGAATATTCTAAGGTTTCAATTTTTATGCAATATGCTCATTACATAAAAATCAATCTACAATCAAGAGAGTTCATTCCTAGCTCTATGTCTAAGAAAAAATGAATACAAATTTCTAGTCACAGAAATAGCTATGTGTAGTCACCAAAAGAAGTGTACAAGAATGACCACGGTAGCGCTGCTCACAATAACTCCAAAGTAGAAAAAACCCAGATGCCCATCAGCCATAGAGTGGGGGGATAAAATCCAGTGTGTTCACGCCATGGATTCACAATTCATGCACGTGATCCTGCATAGCTCTACTTCTATCCTCATCGATGAGAATGGAAGTAGAGCTAAAAGTAACGACATGGGTGAACCCCACATAGACAGTACTTGCTCCGTAAAGGGAACAAGACATAAAAGAACACTGCACTGTGATTCTACTTGTGCAAAACTCAAAAGCAATCAGAAGGAAATCAGTCTGTTATGTGGGAAGATGGCGGCTCTCGTTGGGGCTGGTAGAACCTAGGAAAGAGTCTGAGGTCCCTTCTGGTCATCTTCTGATCTGTGCTGGTTCTATCGGATACTCATCTGTGCAGCTTTTTGCATGTGTGGTATGCAGTTATAGATGTTTTCATAAAGCTAAGTGAAAAGGCCAGGAGTATTGCTTAGTGGTAGAGTGCTTGCCAGGCATGGGTGAAGCCTTGGGTTTGAGCCCCAGCAAAATGAAAAGTGAGAGAAAGAATAACTGCTGAGCCAGTGCAATAAGATAAGAGGAACAATGAGGAGTGGATTAGAAGGAATTGGCAAAACTGAAATTTTTAGAAAATGCTCATTTTTTTTTTGGTTTGTGTCAGTCTTGTGGCTTGAACTCAGGGCCTGGGTGATGTCTCTGAGCTTTTCTTAGTCAAGGCTAGCACTCTATTACTTAAGCTATATCTCCATGTCCAGCTTTTTGGGGGTTAATTGGAGGTAAGTGTCTCACAGACTTTCCTTCCTGGATTGGGTTTGAATTGTGATTATCAGATCTCAGCCTCCTGAGTAGCTAGGATTATAGACACGAGCCACTGGTACCTGACTGACAATGCTCATTTTTAAAACTAGTAAAATAAATGACCAGAGCTAAGAAGAAAGCTCCACAAGATTGCTGATGTTGAAATAAAGATACAAGGTGTAGTAGATTTCCTGTGCATGAGTAGTATCTAATTTTTTTAAGTTGGGGAAAAAAAAGTCACATTCATATGACTAGCAAATAAATGTCATTAGGAAATTGGTTCATAGCCTTTGTAGCAAAAAGTTATAAATTATTCTTTAAGCCTATAAACAATAATTTGGTTAAAACAGTGCTATATCATGTTTACGGATAGGAAGACTCATATTCCTGAATAGATTTAATTTCTTCCTCCAAATAACATCTACCTTCAAACAATTCTTTTTTTTCTTTTTTGCCTTTTTTTAACTTAAATTTTATTGTAAAGGTGATGTACAGACAGGTCACAGTTACGTAAATAAGGTAATGAGTACATTTCTTTTTGAACAGTGTTACCCGCTCCCTTATTTTCTCCCGCTTTCCCTCTACCCACCCACTCCCATCTTCAAACAATTCTAAACCGAATCCTCCTCTTCCTAGAGCTATGCCTCAGTAAATTAGTGTCTTTTCTTTTCCTCCAAATTATATAGAAGCGACAAAATGGGATTTCTATGACCTTTTTTTCCTGTGAAAGTAAAATTTATGTGTAATGTCTGAACTATTTGTAAGGACTGCTGCAAGAGATTAGGCAAAAGCATTGTGGGGGAGGATGTGAGGAAACATTAGGATGGAGAAGAGCTGACAGGGAATCTCAGAGGACAGGAGCGAAAATGCGCTTTCTGCGGGAAAACTTGGCAGTGTCCCAAACTAAAACAATCATGTTTTATGAGCTACTTATAAGACGCTAGCATTTCCTCCTCTAAAAATCCTAGAAAAGCTCACACATGGACCCATGTGATTAGGATGCCTAATCAAAATCTCTAAAAATGTCCATCTATGAGATAGCTTGAATTGAATAAGGTCTTAGGTCTCTGTAGGTCAGTATGGGTCAAGTCCCGAAAACAAGGCTGGGTGAAAAACCCAAGTTCTAGAATCATGCAGGCAGTGAGGAACCATGTATGTATATGTAGTTCATTTTTTGGTTCATGTTTAAAGCAGTTTTGGTTTCTGGTTCACACTTGAGCTAATTAGCAAAGGAGTAGACTGCATTGAGTGAGAACTCAGAGCTAGACTGCCTTGTTCAAATCCAGTTCCTGCCCTTCACCAGCTGTGACCTGGCACAGTTACTTCACCTTTCAGCCCTGTGGTCTCTTTACTAGTTAAATAAGAATAATTGCTGAAGATCAAATGGGTGAGAACAGTAGTTGACATAATGAAAATGCTTTAAGAAATGGCAGGTTTTTATTATCATTGTAAGTCATTATACACAAATCTGTATCTAAAATGCTAAGGCTTTGAATTTTTGTTGAGCCATACATCCACTATATAGAATGCTAAGATTGACTAGAAAGAAAACCTCAAGTTTTTTTTGTATGTTTCCTTTGGAAAAAGGGGTAAGAAAAAAGAAAAAAATATCAACTTGCCTTTTAATTTCTTTTATAGGAAAGGTAAAATGATCCAGGCACTGGTGGTTCATGCTTGCAATCCTAGCACTTCAGGAGGCTGAGATCTGTGTGCCTTAGTTTGAAGCCAGTTTATCTCCAATTAATCACCCAAACAGCCAGAAACGGAGCTGTGGCTCAAGTGGTAGAGTTCTAGTAACAAAAATTGGTTTGTTGGAGTTCAGTGATCAAATAGCTCTCATTTCCTTTAGCAGCTGAGTCAGTAAACTAAGGCTACATTTCAACATGCTTGCCACTTGGTCCAGAGAGGCATAAGGAAATCAGATCTGAAGCCATGCTTCTGAGATGGTCAGATGACATAACCAATGACCCCACCCACCTGCCTGAAATGAGGGACCATTCTAAGTTATCAATTCATTGTGGGCCACAAAGATGAGGAATTCTCAGCCAATGACTATTCCATTCATTGTCTGTTGTTTTTAACAAGTAATTTTTTTAAACCTTCGTACAACAAATTCTCTACCTCTCATATTTTCCCTTAAGGACATTGTCCCTTTAGGACAAACTATGGATTTGTCCAATACAAGGTTAGTTAGTGGTCACTTAGTATTTCTTAAATGCTTTCCAGCATCTTAGCAGCAAGTGAAACATCTTCTGGCTCAGTTACCTGCTAGGCAATGCAAGGCCCGGGTGGCACAGGTGCATCTAGATCACCTTTCCCAACAGACTCATCCTGTCACACCCCTTGGACTCAGAGAACACAATAGGAGTTGCTGATTAACTGAGCGCACATGGGTTAGCCCATTTGCTTCTGAGGTGTGACATGTCATCCCGCAGGTCGAGGACTCCCAGCAGGACTGGCTGAAGTGGAGATGATAGAAAGAGCCCGGGAGAAGCGTGCATGGGAGGCCACCCTTCCTCCTCTGAGCGACACTTCCCAGTATGAGAAGAGGCGGAGGATGATGGATGAGATGGAGAGGAAGGAGTGGCTCTTCAGAGATCAGGAGATTGAGAAGTATGTTCACTGACTTTCATGACTCTATGGATAGGAGTAATGTTCATATATATATGTATATATATACATATATATACATATGTACATATATACATATATATATTTAATCTGTAAAGCTTGTCCCCAAATATCTTGTTTCAAAACGATTCTTCTCTTACAGAGATGGGAAACAGGGTTTCTGGTGTTTTCAATAGCAATCATATACTTCTGATGTGGTCCAAGAGGCTGTTGTAATTTTCCCTCTGGAAAGGAATGATGTTCCCCCCCCACCCCCCAGGGCATGTGGAGTTCAGCAGGGAATTCATCCAGCAGCTCCACCAGGGCCTTCCTGATTCTTCTCCCTTTTTCTCCAGGATCTCTCTAGACTGTGAAAGCATCCCCATGGTTTCTGCAAAGACTCTTGTAAGCTGTCCTTGTGTTCATTTCAAGTGTTACATCCCTAGGCCTTAGCGCCACCCCCCCCCCCGCTTTGAAACCCACCAAGCTGTGGCATTGGGTTTACCACTGGGACATGGCTTCTAGTTAGAGTTGAGGGGACTTTCCTAGCACAAAGCGAACTGTGGTCTCCTTCCAGGAACGTATGAGCTTAGCTGCCAGTAAACACAAATAATAATATGTAGAGGCCTTTCTGCTTGAGTTTTCAGGCCTTTTAACTGGTTCACTTTGGGTAATGAGGTTGTTGCTGATAAGTAGAGATGACGAGAAATAATTACAACCAAAAATTATGACCCCCTACCAAGCAAAGGAACAAGAACACTTGTGGAGATTGCACTCTATCCAGGGCCAGATGGAGGCAAGGTCCCAAGGTCCCTTGCACACAGGAGAATTGGGGATCAAGGCAGAACCAACTCAGCTTGCTCACAATTTTAAAGTGTATTTCTTCTCCCCCTGCTCCCCAGTACTTTCTGATTAAGGTTGAATCCAGATTATGTGATGGTTTCATAAAAAGCTTACCCAAGCCGGGCACTGGTGGCTCACGCCTGTAATCCTAGCTACTCAGGAGGCTGAGATCTGAGGATCGTGGTTCAAAGCCAGCCTGGGCAGGAAAGACCGTGAGACTCCTATCTCCAGTAAACCATCAGAAAACCAGAAGTGGCGCTGTAGCTCAAGTAGTAGAGCGCTAGCCTTGAGCTAAAGAGCTGAGGGACAGTGCTCAGGCCCAAAGTTCAAGCCCTGCCACTGACAAAAAAAAAAAAAATAGTATCTGGGCAGGGGGAGGGGAGAGGCTGGGAAGGGATGTGAAGGGTAAACAAAAGGAGGAGGCTGCAATGCTTGGTAAGAAACGTACGCATTATCCTGCCCATGTAATTGTAACCCCTCTGTACAGTATGTTCACAAAATAAAAAAAATAGTATCTGGGCAAGGTGAGTGTCAAAATATTTAATCGTTATCTGCAGAAATTTTACTTTATTGCTGTCCTCATATCTAGCTGCATGAAGACATCATTGGAGATGCTGAGGTAATATGTTAAACTGCAAACCTTTTTTTTGGGGGGAGGATTGGTCATGGGGCTAGAACTCAAGGTCTAGGAGCTGTCCCTGAGCTCTTTGCTCAAGGCTAGCACTTGAGCAAATAAGAGTAATATAAGTAAGAAGAGAAAATAAAAGTCTCACTGACTTCAGTCTGGGCTGGATTTGAACCAGGATCCTGAGATCTTAGCCTTTGAGTACCTAGGCTTACAAACATAAGCCACCAGTGCCTGGCTCTGAAAAACCATTGTCATCAATGTAAATCAATTCTCTCCAATGTTCTGTTCTGTATATGAAGTGCCAGAGGAACCAAGGTGGCTTTGTTTTCAGTGGATGCTTTGAGAAAGGTAGCCTCTGAGCGAGGTGTTGGTGGATGACGGGTGCTATCAGAGCTTGGTGCTCACACCTGTAAATCCCAGCCACACAATAGGTAGAGATGTGAAAGATTGGGGTTTGAGCCATGTGAGGCAAAAAAAATAACGGTGAGGGCTGGGAAGGTGGCTCAGTGGTAGAGCACTTGCCTTGCATGCCTGAGGCCCTGGGTTCGATTCCTCAGCACCACATAAGCAAAAAGAAAAAAAGCCGGAAGTGGCGCTGTGGCTCAAGTGGTAGAGTGCTAGCCTTGAGCTGAAGAGCTGAGGGAAAGTGCCCACGACCGGACCCCCCCAAAAAAAATAATAACGGTGAGAACACTTCTTAAGTGTCCTCTGTAATAGTATGTACCTGTCATCCCAGCAAGGTGGGAATGTAAATAGGAGGATTATAGGCCAGCCTAAGCCAGCCAAACCCTATCTCAGAAATAACCAAAGCAAAAAGGGCTGGGGACATGGCTCAAGCAGGAGTGTACCAGACTAACAAGCAGAAGACCTTTAGTTCAAACTCTGGTATCACAGAAAAAGAAGGAAAGAGAAAGAAAGAAAGGAAGGAAGGAAGGAGGAAAGGAAGAAAGGAAGGAAGAAAAAAAAGAAGACATTAGGTCGACAATAACAATATGATGCTGGTGGTGGTGATTTGGAGGTACTCACTGAGCTTGTGGTACTTTACAGAGTGTCTACCATGTGCTAAGCCAGTGGTTCTCAGAGTGTGGCTGGCCCTCAGACCTGATGCACCAGTATTGCCTGTCCCCTTGCTATCAATGCATCTTTGCAGACCCCCTCACAGACCCACTGAATCAGGAGGGGATCAGCAATCCATGCCCTACCGAGCCTTCCAGAGTATTCCACGCTTGCTTCAGTTTGATCTAACACTTTGTGTACATGAACTCACCAATTCTTACCACCATCTTATAAGGTGGCCACCATCATCTTCATTTTGCAATTGAAGAACAGAGGCAAGGTGATAGATAGCTGAGCTTCTAAGTTAGTCACAGGCTGCTGAGTGGTAGAAATGCACCATTAGGTAATTTTGTTGTGTGAACATTACAGGGCAGGCTTCCACAACCCACATGGTATACATCAGTCTTGTGGCCTCTCAGTATGACCAAGAGGTACAGTAAACAAGAAATGGGTTAGCCTCTGCCAGAGTAACATGGCAGCCTGTTTTACAGTAACCAGGAGGAGTGCACACTAAAATAACAATGCAGGTATAGTGTTGTAAATGCATAAATCAGTAGTCACTTATCGTCATTTGCGAGCATAGAGTACTGCATGTGCACCCTGTAGGACCAGGTGCACAGCAGATGTGTTGAGCAGCATCACCCCACATGAGTGATGTGTTGCACTGTGATGTTACTATGGTGACGATGTCAGTCAGCAGGAGGAATCTTCAGTTCCTTAATATCTTCCAGGATTGCAGAGGTGCTGTGGTCCATTGTTGCACACAATGTGGTTATGTCGCCTGTGACTGCATTGCACACTCTAGAGAGGAATAGGGCCCATTATTGTTATTTTTTTAAAATTATGCTGGTGCTGAGGTTTGAACTCAGGGCCTTGAGCTTGCTGGGCAAGTGCTCTGCCATATGGGCCAGGCCTACAGTTCAGGGATGCTGGATAGTTCTTAATGCTTTGAAATTTACTTGAAGATTGCAGGATATTCGTCTGGAGCTTTTGCAAGAGCTGCTAAAGCAGCGAGCAGAGAATCAAAATGAATTGAATACGAGGCAGTTGAACGCACAGTGGTGTCGACTGCAAGAAGCCAAAGAGGAGAAAGTGGACAAAATTCAGCGCATGCACATGTCAGGTAAGTGGGTTTGAGACAGGAAAGCAAATAGGAGGGGCTCTGTTTTAGGTCTTGGACCAAATGTTGACTTAGCTATAATGAAATTCTGTCCTGAACCTGGTGAATCAAATAAGTTAGAGGGGAGAGGCAACTTGTTTCTCAACAATGTAAGAGTGTGTGTGTGTGTGTGTGTGTGTGTTGGGGGGGGGTGGAATCCCTCACTAAGAAAATCAAGAGTCTGTGTTCTCCCAGGTGGACAAATTATTGACATTATGTGTTGCACGCATATGTGTCTATGTGTTTTCAATATCAGGTTCAGGCTACAGAATGAAATTCATTCAATGCAGTTGTTTCCCTGTGAGTAAAATTAGAACTGGTTTGCCATTCTGCCTTCATAATCTAGAACAAGATTTTTGGAGATGGTCATGGAGGTATGTCTCATTTCAGCAATGAGGAAATTTCTGTCCAAGTCAAAGAACGTAGAGGGGAAGTTGGAGAGGAGAGATATCATCAAGGAGTACTCTGACTATGGGTCACAGGTCTATGGACCTCTCTCTCGCCTTGGTCGTTTCCCGGACATCAGCGGGCAGCAGTTTGTAGTAAAAAACTACTATCTCAACACCTATGAAGGTAAGTGATTGATGAGATCTAAGAGCACTCTAGACATAAGAGTTAAGTATATAAATTCAGATGAAAAGTTTCCAAAATATTTGTAAAAAAAAAAAACCAAACAAACCTAAAAACAAACCTTCAATATACTCAATATACTCAGGTTCAATATACTCATTAATAGTTCATACAAACTAACAAAACTGCCAAGACCTAAATAAATAAATGGGCATAATATAGAATAATTTAGCAGACAGTAAAGGTCAGTTAACTACTAAATATTTTAAAATACCAGCTGGATGTGGCAGCATCTGTCTGTGGTCCTAGTTAGTCAGGAAGCTCAAGTGAGCTGATTACTTGAGTCCAAGAGTTTGGGGCCAGTCTGGGAAATGTGGCAATGGATTTTTTGTATGTGTGCCTGTCTTGGGACTTGAATACAGGGCCTAGGCACTGTCCCTGAGCTTTTTTTTTTTTTGCTCAAGGGTAGTGTTCTACCACTTGAATACATCTCCACTTCTGGCTTTTTAGTGGTTAGTTGGAGATGAAGGCTCATGAACTTTCCTGTTTGGGCTGGCTTCAAACCTTGATCCTCAGATCTTGGTCTCCTAAGTAGCTAGAATTACAGGTATACGCCAACAGTACCCATAGTGAATTTTTTTTAAATAGGATTTTTGGCAGTACTGGGTTTTGAACTTGGCCTAGCTTTATGTTCACTTGGCTTGCTTGCTTGGCTCTACCACTTGAACCATACGTCTAGCCTGGAATTTGTTGATTATCTTGGACTTTTCTTCCTGGAATGGCCTCAAATTAAGATCCTATGCATCTCAGCCTCCTTGGTAGCTAAGGTAATGGGTGTGAGTCACTAGGACCCAACTCTGTTTAAAAAACATTTAATGACATTAATAATAAGTTATACAGAAAATGAAGTAGCAAAAATATTTTGTATCAGGTTTATGAAACAATCAGATGCATAGTGACATCATCCTTCTCAAAGGAATGTCAGAAAACTAGGGGGCAAGATAACAGGTGATAAATTCATGGTGAGGGCTATGTCAAGACCAAGAGGATTTGTACATTTCAGTTCACATAATTGAAGCTTTATGTGGTCAAGATCAAGACAGTTTTACACGATTAAAGCTATCATATTCAAAGTGGAATATGACAGATTGGTGAGTCTCTCTGTCTCTGAGCTTTTGTATTCAAGACTAGTGCCTCATTACTTTGAGCCATAGTGCCATTTCTGGCTTTTTGGTAGTTAATTGGAGATAAAGAGTCTCATGGACTTTCCTGTCCAGGCTGGCTGTCTTTGAACCCTGATCCACAGATCTCAGACTCCTGAGTAGCTAGGATTACAGGCATGAGTCACCCATGCTCTGCTTGACAATATTTTTAGTTTTAGAAAACATTTCTCATCTTATAGTCTAGGTCACTGAGAACCTGCATTAATTATATGGACATAAATGGGCTTTACATTTCATGGACAATGCATTCTATTATGTGAGATGTGCCTTAAAAAGTATTCTAAAGAAGCCGGGCGCCGGTGGCTCACGCCTGTAATCCTAGCTACTCAGGAGGCTGAGATCTGAGGATCACGGTTCAAAGCCAGCCCAGGCTGGAAAGTCTGTGAGACTTATATCTCCAATAAACCTCTAGAAAACCGGAAGTGGCACTGTGGCTCAAGTGGTAGAGTGCTAGCCTTAAGCTGAAGAGCTGAGGGACAGCGCCCAGGCCCAGAGTTCAAGCCCCAGGAATGACAATAAAAAAAAAAAGAGAGAGAGAGGAAAAAAAAAAAAAGAAAAGTATTCTAAAGAAACCACTTGACATTTGTTGTTAAAATGAACAATATCCTCTGAAAACATGTACTTTTTGCCTGTAGGATTAGTTGAACTTGAGGCATGTCTCCCAGATTTTGTGACACAACCAAGAATCAAAGCTCCAAAGCCAAGGACCATCGTCACCAAAGCTGGTTTTCTGAAGCGGGTAGCGAGGACAGACTATGAGCTGGCAGAGATCCATAAGGTACACTTTTCATATGGAAGACCAGATATTTCTCATGTGGCTTCCACAGAGAAACACCGCACTTCCCAATTTCATTCTGTCTTGGGCATTGCTGATCATGAATCTAAGGCACAACCTGACATTCCTTCTTCTCTAGACTTTTCTCCCCTGGAGGTTGTCCATGATGTGCCTAATAGTTTTTCCCCTCATTTCATACTGCAGGAAAACTTCTCAGAGTTCATTGTCTTCACTTACAGAAGTCATGTTATTTCCTGATAGGCTTTCTGACTTTGGATCTGCATTGGTAAAACTTGACGCTACCTAGAGGTACAGCAAATTCCTAGTATTAGACATTACGGTTGGTGTAGATGTTGTAAGAGGCTCCACTTACTCCCTTTAATATTTGTTATCAGGACATCAGGAAGGAGTCAAACACATCTAGTTTAAAATTCAAGAAAGGCTGGTGGTGCTCACATTGGAGCAGATTGCCTTAGCCTAGTGGTGGAGGAAAACGCCAAGAGAAGGGATGACATTCGTTTGATCATTTCAGGCGCTGTTGGACAAGAAGAATAAAGTTGCGGAAACAAAGAAACCTCTACGCTTCCTTCAAAAAATCTCCATGCCTCTGCCTCGACTTTCCACCCCAACCTTGGAGATGGGTTCCTATGTGAGTTAGAAACTGGTTTGAAATGCTAGCTTCAGCACGGCCGTCAGTGTCGTTAGGAAAGTTTGGGTTGAAAGAAAAATCTGCACTACAGTTAGGTAGTTTCTCAAGCTCTGATTTAAAATTGTTTGTGTGTGTGTGTCCTTTATTCTTAAGTATCAAACACAAACACAGCCACATACATGTGTGCACTCCTGCATGCTCATGCGCGCGCACACATGTGCATGTACACACACACACTGAAATCTGAACCCAATCATGCTCAAGAATGAAGCATCAGCAGAGACGGCAGTCCTCTTGTGTGCCAAATAAAAGACTGAGAACAGTCTCCACGCCGACTTCCTTCTCACCAGCTAGTGGCTGTAACTGTGGCAGTCAGACAGGAATAAAATGCTGGTGGTGACATCACGACAGGGTGGCTTTTAGGCGAGGAATGGCTCCAAGGGGTCCCACTGACCACTTCTCGCCAAACTCCATGTGGGCAAGGTGCCAGAACTGGTGCCAGAACTGGTAAGGATATAAAGGAGGGCGTCACAGCACACCAACCCACAGGGAACTGCTGAGCATGTCGTGATAGAGACGTGGAGAACTCCCCCAGCAGTGGGAGCATCTCTGGCTGCCAGCTGAGCCTTCCAGAGGAAGGCTACTGTGTTCCTTGTCAGGAGATGGGTGTGGGGGTGGGGTGAGGAGGGATTCGCACCAAGGCCTGTTTCCTCCTGTCCTAGAGGGAACCATACCCACTGCTTCTTCAGACTCTGTGCAGGCCTTTGAATCCTCCCTGTCTGTGGTGGATGTTAATGCTACTACTGTCCCGACATTTTCTCTTACCAGAGATGCTTTCATGAGAAGGCTAGACCTCGTTCTTCTTGCTTTGACCTTTTCATTTACCAGTTTAGCTAAATGCTCATGCATAGCACGTCACTCTAAACACGGACTAGCTGCGTTGTGTTTGCATGAGCAAATGTGAGCACGTGATTGCTGAAAGGATATTACGCACTGTGCTTGCTGCTTCAAGATTTTGCTGGAAATAGCATCATTTGCAGGGATAATAGAGCAGTCCTGGCATTCATTTTCCTTTCGTATGACCTGGTAGCAATGCATTATTCATAATGAAAAAGAAACTGCGTGACATGGTAAGTACGGCGTGTTCAATGAGGACAGAGAACAGGCTCTGTGTCTTTCAATCCAGCATCTGACACAGTCCCTCTTGTTTGAAATAAGTCTTGCTTGATACAAGCATTTGATGAGGTGTAGGTACCAGTGGTTCCAGCCTGTAATCCTAGCTATTCAGGAGGTTGAGCCCTGAGGATTGCAGTCCAAAGCCAGTCTGGGCAAGAAAGTCTGTGAGACTCTTATCTTCAGTTGACCAGCAAAAAAGCAGGAAATGGAGATGTGAATCAAGTGGCAGAACACAGCTTTACACAGAGAAAGCTCAGGGACAAAGCCCAGGCCCTGGCATCTAGTCCCAGGACAGGTATGCACATGCGTGCGCACGCGCACACACACACACACACACACACACACACACAGCATTTGATGCTTAGGCTGCTGCTGTTGTCAAACTATTTGCTCTGTTTTTCTCTCAGGAGGAAGAGGAGATGGAAATGGCTGTGATCTACCTGCAACAGCTACTCCGGGGCAGAGTGGTTCAGAACATGGTGTGTAGTCCAGCTTCCAGCGCTTGTGTTTCAGAATGCATATGTGCGTGCGTGATGGGCATGGAGGGAATGCTTCCCTCCTGAACCTTGCCTGCCCCTCCTACTGACTTGTCTGCCACTTGGCACAGCGGAACCTAGGCAGTGTAAACTTTTTTTCTGCTTTGGGATACTCTCTATGTACATTTTCCCACCGGATTTTGAGAAAAGCAACATTACAAAACAAAGAGACTCTCTAGTTTTCTAGAAGGATATCCTAATACAGTTATTTGAGTTTGCCTATATCTGGAAATATCTTCATTATCAATGAGATAGCTAAAATTATAATGGCTACACTTTTAAACCCCTGCCATGTACCCATATTATCTATTGTTGGTTCTACATGTATCATCTCATTTTTTCCTATCAGGACTATCACTAGCTAAGTAAGTAACCTGAGTCAGGGAGATTTAGTTAACTACCATCAAATTCAACTCCCTTGTTCCTGACTGTAAAGCTTCAGCCATTTGTGTTGCTGGAGCTGGCACAATAGAATGATAGAATGGCGCAGCTACATGTGTGTCTCCCAAGACACACATACACACACATGTGCATGCACATGTGCACACACCCTGCAGGTACTAGAGCTTGAACTCAGGTCCTTGTGCTCCTGTTTGGCTTTTTCACTCAAGACCACTTGAGCTACTTCTCCACTTCCCGCTTTTTGCTGGTTGGTTGTAGATAAGAGTCTCTTGGATTTGTATGCTCATGTTGGCTTTGAACCATGATCCTAGGATCTCAGCCTCCTGAATAGCTATGATGACAGGTGTGAACCACCAGTGTGGCCCATGCATGACTTGGTTCTGATGCGTAAGTCCAGGGAAGCTAGAGAGAAACTTGTGCCCAGCACTGTTCTTTTGCACTGGGGATTAAACTCAGGGCCTCATGCTGACTAGACAAAAGCTCTTCTACTTGAACCACATCCCCAGCCCTTTTGATTTTATTTTAGTTTTTCAGACAGGGTCTTAGTCTTATCTCAGACTGTGATCCTCCTACGGCTGCCTCCTGAATAGCTAGAGTTATAGGCATGTGCCACCATAGCTGTTTTTGTTTTTGTTTTGATTTTGATTTTGCTGGTTCTGGGCCTTGAACTCAGGGCCTGGACACTGTCCCTGAGCCTCTTTGTGTTCAAAGCTAGGGCTCTACCATTGGAGCTACAACACTACTTCCAGCTTTTTCTGTGATTAATTGAAGATAAGAGTCTCATGGGCTTTCCTGCCAGGCTGGCTTTGTGCTGTGATGCTCAGATCTCAGCCTCCTGAATAAGTAGGGTTACAGGCATGGGCCACTGGCATCCAACTCATGCCTGGTTTTAACATGTTTCTTCACCCCATTTAATATTCTCCTAGAGGAATGCCATACTTCACTTCAGCCAGTACGTTATGTATTATAAGCCAGGGACACATTCTTGGATTAAAAATAAAGGCAAAACAGAACAAACAACAAAACCACCACAGCCATGAAAAATGCCATCCTCAGGGAAGGAGCATAGGAAATTGTAGGGAAGGTTCTAGTTTCTTAATATGATCCTGTAAGTTGCCACCTAGTCTCTGAGAGGCATTGTTAGGAGCTAAACCAATAACTCACCTCTCTGCCTGTAAGTTCTTTTCTCTCTGAACCTCTGAAGGCACAAAAAAAGAGGCCGAAATCCTAGCAGGGTGGAATACTCCTGCAACGAGAGCCCTTTATGCAGGACAGAACCCACTATCCCCAGATACTTTGCATGCTGCTCGTGACTCCTGGAGCACATCACCCTGAAGGATCGTAACGGCCAGGTCTTTGTTTGACTTGATCTCGTGCAGATGTTTGAAGGGAAAGAAAAGCGGCGAGAGTTGATCCACGAGCTGCGCACCAGCCATGCACTACAAGAAGATGAAAAGATACTGAAGAAAGCCGAGAAGCAACTGACACTGGCCCTACAGCGACAGAGGAACCTGCACGAGCACAAGGTTCTTCCTTTCTGTCTTGCTGTGTTTTCCCTCTTCCTTTTATTATAGCACAAGGAAAATTGGGACAACAATAGAGGACACGATAAAAAAAAAAAGATTCCTCCAACCTCAGCACTTTGCCAGCATTCAGCATCCATTCTGAACTCAGGGCCTCACACTTGCTTAGCTGGCGCTCTGCCTCTTGAGCCACACCTCTATTCTCACCTTTATTTTTTGGCTAGTTAATTGAGGATACGAGTTTCTTGGATTTGAAGCCAGCTGGCTTCAAACTAAGGTCCTCAGATCTCAGCCTCCTGAGTAGCTAGGATTATAGGCGTGAGCCACCAGTATCCAGCTATGTCAGCACTTACTTCTGAAATGTGAACCCATCAGAGCTCATGCTGGATGAAGTGCCTGTTAACCATGTTCACTCTGTGTTGGGTGATGTCTGCCCCCCCATGCACAGCTTGAGAGTCATAACTAAATGAACAGCAGTAAAAGTTGTTCTTGTTCTCTCCCAATGTTCATGCTATTTTTGCATACTTCTTAATGCTGCTGACAACAGTATAGACACATTTCTGCTCCTTTCCCCCACTTTGCTGTAAATCAGTATGAAAAACACAATCATCTTGCACTCTACCACTTGAGCCACTCTTCTACTTCCAGCTTTTTGCTGGTTCGTTGTAGATAAGAGTCTCTTGGATTTATATGCTCATCCTGGCTTTGAACCATGATCTTAGGATCTCAGCCTCCTGAATAGCTATGATTACAGGTGTGAACCTCCAGTGTGGCCCATGCATGACTTGGTTCTGATGAGTAAGTCCAGGGAAGCTAGAGAGAAACTTGTGCTCAGCACTGTTCTTTTGCACCAGTGTGTGCATGTGACTCATGCATAACTCTTGTGCCATTGGGAATTGGATATAACAGTCAGCAGCTTGGAAATGACCACAGCTTTACTTCTCTTACATGAAAGCAGGGCCATGGATGGTCGCTGAGTCAGGAGAGCAGGTCTGGGGGCTAAATAGGGGAAGAATAAGAAAGACACAAGCTGTGCCACCCAAGCAAGGGACCAGAAGCAGATGAGGGGAATGTGGATTGAAGTGTCTGGGTTCTATAGACCTAGAGATGTTCACATAGGGAAACAATGATAACATAGGTGCAGAGTCTGTGGATGGCCTTTTAAGGATTGGGATAAAGGCCTTTAACAGATGCAGGGAAGCACTTCAGGCTTTTCAGCTCATTTTCCCCAAACGGTGGAGACATGACTGATGGTATCAGCTAAGTGTAGAGGTAAGAGTTAATGTGAAAAGCTGCCATTCATACTGTACCTGTTCCCAGAAACACCAATGATATGCAGGCATCTGAGGATTAGGCTCCCATGTATATGGATAGCAATGCTGGTCTCCCTTAATCTGCTCTCGTTTCTCTGGAAAATAGTCCATAAAACACAGTTCCCAATTATGCAATGGATCCCATGATGTGATCACAAGAGAATCATCTTCCTACGTATGTTTTGCATACTTTTTTTTTTGTCGGTTCTGGGGCTTGAACTCGGTCTGGGCACTGTCCCTCAGCTCTTCAGCTAAAGGCTACAGCTTTACCACTTGAGCCACAACACCACTTCAGCTTTTTTTTCCTGTTTACATGGTGCTGAGGAATCAAACCCAGGGCCTCATGCATACGAGGCAAGCGCTCTACCACTGATCCACCTTCCCAGCCCCTTTTGTATACTTTTAAGTTAGATCATCCTACCTAGATTGAGAATACCCAGGTTTGTGGCTGAGGAAAGAGGCCAATCATGAACAGATAGCTATCTTAGGATCTTGAAAATCAGTCTATTCTCCAACCCCTACCTCCACCCCTTGGCCTCAAGTAAAGTTGCGGATGCTGCTCAGATACAAGAAGGAGAGAATCTGTTCTCATCTCAAGGTTGAATGTTCACTGTTTATTCATGAAAGAGCAGAGAGATGCTGCCACCCTTTCTTTCCACACTCCCTGTTATAAAAGTGAACTTGAACTCCGTGGTTAGGAAGTGTGCGTGCGTGAGGATGGATGGTCTGGGTACCAGGCAAACACCAGCATTTGACTGACAACCTCCCCTTTGACACCTGTGCGAATTCCTTCTCTTCAGAGTCAAACCAGAAAGGGAAATGAGGAAGGAGGAGCTATCAGTGTTAAAAGCAGTGAACAGTGGGAAGAAGAACTTATTTTTCCACTCTTAAGACCTAGGGTAGGTGGGGGCACAAGATGAAGTCACACAGGCTAAACAAATCTCAAGCACTTTTCCATTTGATGTGTCAAAGATGGGGCTCACGGATCCATAAAGAGGTACAGTGGCTTACTCCTGGCTGAGAGCTCCACGGGTCTCTATTTTACCCAACAATCACATGGGCATTTAGGCTCTTTTCCTGTGCTGGTTCAAAAACAGTTGTTAATGCCTTTGGAGTTATTAAAAGACTCAAGAATGACAATGTTTTCTGCTTTCCTATTTTGGGAGATATTAAAATTCCTCAAGCTTGTATGAATGGACCAGATGGACACACCTTTAAAAAATTAACCGGTGTCATGAGTGAATTTCTAGGAAATCCTATGTTATTAAACTCCAATATTGTGTGTGTGTGTGTGTGTGTGTGTGTGTGTGTGTGTGTGTGTTTGAACTCAGGACCTGGGTGCTATTCCTGTGCTTTTTTTACTCAAGGCTAGCACTCTACCACTTGAGCCACAGATCCGCTTCCTGTTTTGTCTTTTTGTTTTTTTTGGATGGTTAATTGGAGATAAGAATCTCAGGGACTATCTTGGCTAGGCTGGCTTTGAACCACAATCCCCAGATCTCAGCTTCCTAAGTAGCTAGGATTACAGGCGTGAGTCACGGGGCCTGGCTTAAACTCCAATATCATCTTCGGTAAGAACCTTGGCGTTTCTCTTCCCGTCTGAAAGGACTTCACTTGACCTTTTGAATAAAACTGAAGGAAACGCACAGACAAACAACAGATCACACCCCAAGTGGCCACTTGCAGAAATGTTTTGTCACATCTCATTTGTAAGGTGAAGCCTGACCAATCCGGGGCAGCAGCCTACCTCCTGGTCTGTGTGACACACGTTCCCAGTAAGAGCCCTTGGGAAGGGGATCCACAACCACCACCCAGCTGCACCCAGATCCAAGTGGTTAGACGACTCGACTGCCAAGATCGCCATTCCTTAGTGGCCTACAATTATATTCTTATGTTTCCAGCTGTCCCTCATTGAAAACCACCTGGCCGGCCTGGAGGGCAGGGCACTGGCAGACATGTTCGACTTCCTGTCCAAAGAGCTGGTGAGACTGCAGGAAGAGAGGCGCATCCACGCCTTCGCCATGCTGGCCGAGCGGCAGCGGCGCACGCGGGAGGCGGAGGAGAGCGGCCGGCGCCAGGTGGAGCAGAGGCGCCTGCGCGAGGAGGACGAGATATTTAAGGAGGTAGGTGGGCGCCCGCGGGGAAAGGGCCACCCCTGTCCTCTCCCCCGCAGGAAGCCGGTGGGCCGGAGGAACCTCAGGACAGGCCATGGCACTGAACTTTCCTTTTCCTTTTTTTTTTTTAAATTTCCAGCAAACAGGCCTTAAGCTCCTACTCCATCCAGGCCCGGCACAGGCCAAGGGCAGTATGAGATTATTTGGAAGGGAAAAAACAGACTTAATCTCTTCTCTCCTACTTGAAGGAAGCATAAGTAGAGTTAGAAAATGCCATGATTCCATGAAGGAAACAAATGGGGCCCAATGATGTATTCGAAACAAGATTACTCTGCCACAGATAGACATATATATGTCTATGTATATCTATCTAATCTATATCTAGATAGGTAGATAGATGGATGGATGGATGGATGGATAGATAGATAGATAGATAGATAGATAGATAGATAGATAGATAGATAGATAGATAGATAGATAGATAGATAGATAGATATGTCGTGGTGCCAGTACTGGGGCTTGAAACGGGTCTGCTGTTCCTTAGCTCAGGACGGTCACTCTACCACTTGAGTCACAGTTCCACTTCTGACTTTTGTTGGTCCATTGGAGATAAGGGTTTCATGGACTTTCCTGACCGGGCTGGCTTTGAAGCACAATCTTCAGACCTCACAGTGTCCTTGGTAGGATTACAAGTATGAACCACTGCCTTCCCCCTACTCTGCTTTTGTGTGGGCAAAGATCTGGAAGGGAGGAGAGAGAGAAGGTACATAGAGAGAGGTGAAAGAGAGAGAGAGGAGAGAGAGAAGAGAAAGAGAGAGAAGAGAAAGAGAGAGAGAGAGGGAGAGAGAGAGAGAGAGCGCGCTCAAGGAAGCCAGGAAGGAGGCTGCTGAAGTCATAAAGGCCAGAATGAGAAACAGAGAGCCCAAGTATGGCAGGTGATGCTACTGTTTTCAAGGTAGGTAAGAGGAGAGAAACCTAAGTTTCAGGCAGGGGTAATTTAGTCTGGACTGCTGGGTGGAGTTATCATCACACACACGCAGAGGAAGAGAGTTGGGCTACCTGCACTGAACTATGGAAGAGTCTGCATAGTGGCCACATTCCCAGAGTACCTTAAGGGCAGCTAGGTGAGTACTTCCCCTGAACCAGCTGTAGGAAGAAAAGGAAAAACCAGGCTAGAATTTTAAGATGTAGACCCCATAGGAGTATATACAGCTATACAGCTGAGCATTGGTGGCTTATATCTGTAATCCTAGCTACTTAGGCAGCTGAGATCTCAGGACTGTGGTTTGAAACCAGCCAGGGCAGGAAAATCCATAGGACTCTTGTCTCCAATTAAACACCACAAAGCTAGAAGTGGAGCTGTGGCTCAAGTGGTAGAATGCTAGCCTTGAGTACAAAAGCTCAGGAAAAATGCCTAGGCCCTGAGTTCAAGCCCCAGGACTCACACACACACACACACACACACACACACACACAAATAAGTACTATGTGAATTTGGGGAGTCTTCTAAGTTGCCCTGAGAGTTTAATGATTAATGATTTACCTTATCCCATAGAATTAAGATTGACCTAAGAACTGTGTGGTTCTTTTTTAATTAAAAAGCTTTAAAAAAACCTTCAATGAATTGTATCTTCAACATACAATTGAAAATGTTTGTAAGTATATGTTATTAAGTTCAGATTTCTAATTTGATCCAACAATCACCTACCAAAAAAAAAACCACAAACAAGCAAAAAATAAAAACAAACCATAAAGACAAGAGCTGGATGAAAAGCTTCCTAGGGAGGTATCTTCTAAATACCATTTCTGAATTATTCTTTTGGTCAGAAGTTGTGGCCGTGCTGGCTTCTATGGGTGCTGGAAAATACAGTCCCTTTGGCCCAGCTAAAATCTAGGGGTTCTGTTATTTAAGCTGAAAGACAGAAAAGACAATGGGAAATATTTCCTAGCTTCTCTATGGTTAGGTAGGTTGGCCAGCTCACACTGCTGCTTAGAACAAAGCCAGAATCCAAACCAGATTATTGATCTGAAGCCATGGTTTTACTGCCTGCCTACCTCCAAGTAAGGTCCATGATTCTAAAATAGGCTGGGCAGATGAGGCCCACCACAATGAACAGGTAGGCAGGAAGACAGGAAAGAAGTGGAAATGTTGACTTAATGAATGAGGTATCTGTGACAAGAGGTCAGCCAAGGTTTGAATTATTCTTATCTTGTTCATCGTGGGATGTTGTTATCAAGAAGGGATATTTCTGCTTTGTGCAGGTGGTTAAAGTTCACCAGAGTACTGTTTCATCCTATCTGGAAGAAATTATACTGAATACTGAAGCAAGTACTGCAGATGAACAAGCCAGAGCAGAAATTGAGAAGGTGGCTGAGGAAATCAATAACATTGCCTATGAAATGGAAAGCCGGTACGCAGCAGAATAGCTATCTCTCTCTCTCTCTCTCTCTCTCCCCTTCACACACACACACACACACACACACACACACACACACACACACACACACACACACTCCTTTGCTGTTATGTGAATGTCAATTGTCAGGAGCTTAAGATTTTTGTCACCACGGGGACACACATAAAAGAACTCAGCTTGCTTGTCCATTACCCTACTAGTGTCATCATTAGAAGTCAATCAAGCTCCTATCTCTGCATAGTTGCAATATTGGGAATTGAATTCCCAGCTATCCTCTGCAATGTTGATTACGTTCATAGATGCATAGATGTGGGTGTGTACAACATTACTTACACTTGATCCCACGTGTGGGGCTTCCTTCCACTTTGAGCCACAGCTCCACTTCCAGTTTTCTGGTGGTTAATTGAAGGCAAGCGTCTCAGACTTTCCTGCCTAGGCTGGCTTTTTGAACCATGATCCTCAGATCTCAACATCTTGAGTAGCTAAGATTACAGGCATGAGTCACCAGTGCCTGGCAATAAACTGAATTTTTAACATTTCTTTCTTATCAGGTTGGTAAATGAAGGACAGAATCAACTACTAATTTTTCATGGAGTTTAAACAAGGTCTCCAAAAATGTGTTATTTCAGATTATTCAATCAAGGAAAAGGGGGTGGTGAGATTTAGGCACTGGAGTTGCTAACTGTAATTCAGCAGTTCAAGCAAGGGAGCAAGAAAACAGTTTGATTTAAAAATTTTATTTTATTTATTGTTATCATAAAGGTGATAGGCAGAGGGGTTACAGTTGTATAAGTCAGATAAAGAGTATATTTCTTTTTGGGGGGGGAGAAGGGGGGAAGGAGAAGGATTGGGATTGGGGGGGAGGGGGAAGGCTGGGAAGGGATGTGAAGGGTAAACCAAAGGAGGAGGCTGCAATGCTTGGTAAGAAATGTACGCATTATCCTGCCCATGTAATTGTAACCCCTCTGTACAGTATCTTCACAAATCAAATCAAATAAAATTCAAAAAAAAAGTATATTTCTTTTTGAACAATGTCACCTTTTTCTTCTTTTCAAAATTTTATAGTCGAACACAACTTCAATCTGAGGAGATTGTTGCTGAGTTGGTTTACAGTTTTCTGATCCCAGAGGTTCAAAAAGACTTTGTCAAAGAAAAAGGTAAGTCAATAGAAATGTTTTACCTTAGGTGTTTTAGAAAGCTCTAAATTATTTTTAGTATCCTAGAAGTGAAAACTAAATGGCAGCGTGTATGGGATTTCTGAAGAAGCACTGATTTCCCTTGTTAACGAGTTTGTCAGGTTCCCTTCCTGCTGTGTGAGTAGAGATTCTGAACACCCAACTAGATTCTGCAGATGAGATGCAGTTGCAATATGCTTGCCAGCACCTCCACCCTCTTTGAAAGGAAGTTCCCCAGCTTGCTGAGGAGGAGTGTCTTATGATTCACCCTGAAACAGCCTTTTGTAGGCAGGGCACAGGAAGCGCGGGTGTTGAAAAGCAGCCATGCTGAGGGCCTAAATCTATTCTACTATACTTCCTTGTGTCAGCCCAAACTGTGCCTCTCCTGGGGCCATGTCTCAATATAAATACCTCAACCTATCATTTGCCAAATGTGGCATGTTTGTAAAGATTAATGCTTTCCGTCAATAGAGGAGAAGACAAAAGGAGATCATAAAAGGGCAGGTTCTTCCAGAGCTCTGAAACTACTGGCTTCATCCCCAAGATGGGTGATATTAGAACAAGGCCATATTTAGGTGAGACAGCAGCACAAAGCGTGCAGGATTCTGTAGAACTCTGTGGAGTGTTTCATTGAGGATGAAAGGATGGTGGGATTCAAACACATTAGGACAAAGAACTTCCATGTCTTCCTCCTTCATGGTGGTTATGTGCTTTTTAAGCCAGCATTTAGTTTGTTCGTTTTTTCTGGTCAGTCCATATCTTTTACACCTATCCTGGGCCATGCTTCTGAAGAGAGTTAAATCCTTGCAGTACAATTCCTGGCAAGTAGGATTATGTGTATTTTGCACTGTGGTAGATTCTACCCAGTTGTCCCACAAAAAAAGATTGTTCTACTGCCATAACAGTGTATAATACTGCCTATTCCAAAACAGTTAATTTTCAGACAAAGTAAGACATATTTCTATATCAACTTCACAGTGAAAATGTTTTCTAAATCCATTAAAATGATCAGTTCCTTCCTGCTTCTCCCAGGTCCAAAGTCAGGTCAGTTTGCATCAGAGCATTCTACCTGAAGGGGATGAATGAGGTGTGGAAATGATGGGCTTAATATTTATTTAATCTGAGAGGGAGATTTTGGAAGAGGAATTTGAGTGGAAGAAATCAGTGGGAATTGTTTATGGTCAAGTCGCATTAGTTCTCAGCCTCTTCCCTTCCTATTTATGTCAAATCAAAAAAAGAGAAACTTTCATTTCTCATTTCAAATGAGGAAATATATATTTTTATGCATAATATGTTTCTATATTTGTGTTTTTATTTTATTTATGCTTATATAAATATATTTATTACTATGCAAGTATATATTTTATATTTATATTTATATATTATCTATATTGTATGTACTAATTACCCAAGATTAAGGTAATATTACATGTGGGCCATATTGAATTATCTTTTCAAAAAAAAAATTTGGTGCTGGTCCTGGGGCTTGAATTCAGGGTCTAGGTTTTGTCTGAGCTTTTTGCAGAGTTGAATCAGGATCTCTGTGATTGCAGAGGTCTTGTTTTTTCAGCCACACTACTGTCACCTGCAAAAAGCTGCTATGTATTACCCTGTATAAAATAGCTGATATCCAAAGGACAAAGATTATCTATCATCTATCTGTCTATCTATTTATCTATCTACTTAGTTAGCCAGGGTCTCACTATCTAGCCCATACTGGCCTCAAATTCATGATCCTCCCACCTTAAACTCTTGAGAGCTAAGATCAGAGCCATGTGCCACTGAAACTATTCCATAATACGTTTTTTTTTATTCCATAATAATTTTTACTGTCCTTTATTTGTTACATGACTTGGAATAAGTTACCTAATTTCTGTATGTCTATATTTATTCTTCTGGAAATGAGGATATTAATAATATTCTCTTCTTGGGTTGTGAGAGAATTAAATGAATAATTACATGTCAAGTGCTTAAAAGTGTGGTTGGAACAAATTAAGGACAAATGCTAATGAACACCTCTCCTCTCCAAAGGCTTAGGCACTAAGGCTTGATAATAAATATTCTTAGAATTTGATGATTAAGTCAGCATCAATCAATAGTGCCGTCTCTATGAGGAGCTATGGTTCAAGGAGAAGTATGAGGCAAGAGTTTCATTAAGACTAAACAGTCATTCATGATGTAGGTAGAAAACAAAATGTACCTTACATTTTGGGGTTCCCTGGTTGGCCCAAATGCAAGTGTGGTGAGTAGTAAATGGGGATAACCCAATCAGAGTAGACATCCTAGAGGAGCAGAGACTTGAACCGGGCTTTATGAAAGTGTAAGACTTCCACTGCAGACATTACAGGTGAGGCAAAAGCTGTGGAGGGGTGAAGGGAAGGACAACCCCAGACAGACTGACCCAAAATGCGAGCAGCACTGAGTATAAGGTATGGAGCCAGGAGCAATGGCTCACATCTGTAACCCCAGATATTGGGGAAGTGCAGGTAGGAGAACCACAGCCCTAGGCCAACCAGGCAAAAAAAAAAAAAAGTGAGACCCTAAACCCTGAAATCCTAAAAGCGAAAAAGGCTAGAAGCGTGGCTCAAGTGGTAGAGCACTCAAGTGCAAGGCCTTGAGTTTAAAGCCCAAGGAGACAGAGGGAGGGGTAGGTGTGGGTTTTCTGCTCGTCACTTTTCACTCTTGCCACCAAATACCTGAGAGAAACAATTGAGAAGGAGGAAGGGCAGGGCTGGGCTCACAATCGGAGGGGTTTCAGGCAAGATCTGCTGGCTCTGTTGTTTCTGGACTATGGTAAGGCAGAGCGTCGTGGTAGAAGGGCATAGAAGAGTGAGTTGCTCACCTCATGGTGGCCAGGAAGCAGAAAGAATGAGAGAGAAAGGTCTGAGAACATAATACCCTTCAAAGTCATGCTCCACTGACCTCCTTCCTCCCGCAAGGCCCATTCCTCCTAATGGCCCATTCTGCCATTGGACAGATCCTAACCTGTACACCAGCTTGCCTTTTGGTGAAGCAGAAGGTGGGGGGCTGGGGGTGCATTTCATAGCTAACCTGCAGCAGATGTGATTTACCTGTAGAAGATGTCCTTCTAAAACAGAGATCCAATAATCTATATTGAATCCAAGTAGCCCTAGCTAGAGGATATGTGGCTTGTAAAATTAGGGTTTGTGTCCCTCTGCCCTGGAGAGCATTTGGGAATGACTTCCCTCAGGTTTTCACGATAGAGATTCTCCTGTCTCTTTGGTACAGTGAGGAACGCCCAGCGGAAGCACATCCTGGCGGCCCATCAGATCATCCACGAGTTCACTGACGCCATGGTCCAGGAGCACTTCTCCGAGAAGCTACAGGCCAGGGGCCAAGCCACCGATGCTAGGGAGGCCCCTGAGAGCCAAGAGGCCCCCGAGAGCCAAGAGGCCCCCGAGAGCCAGGAGGTCCCCAAGAGCCCAGAGGTCTCCAAGAGCCAGGAGGCCCCCGAGACCCAGGAAGCCCCTGAGAGCCATGAGGTACCCAAGAACCAAGAGGCGCCAGAGGAGGTGTCCGAGAGTGACGAGGTACCAGAGAGTGACGAGGTACCAGAGAGTGACGAGCTAACCCAGAGCGACGACTTAGTGGAGAGTGACGAGCTAACCCAGAATGACTTGGTAACCCAGAGCGAGGAGGTAAACCAGAGCGTGGAGCCATCCAAGAGCAACACTGAAGACAAAGAGGATGCAGACAGCTAAGGTGAGTGTGATGTTCTGTGGGGAGGAAGCAGCAAGGATGGAGGAGCAGCCCTCACCCTGTGCTCTGCTCTGACAGCATCCTGCCAACAACTGCCTTGTTCTTTAAGAAATTTAATGTAGCACTCCTACTTAAACTGACTCATACCTTCTAAGTTAGGGCTCGGATGGTTGAAATTTAGAATTGAGTCAGCGATCACCACAGGTGGGACTCTTGGGATCTAGAAAGTAGAAATCTAGGTATTTCTAGTGGGTTATTTGAGCATATATCTAGACAAGATTGTCTGTAAGAAAGCCTGACCATTTTCCCACCTTTCATAATACTGGGATTTGAACCCAGGACTTCACTCTCATTAGGCAGGTATTCCACCTCCTAATACACACCTTCAGCCCTTTTGGCCTTTAGTTACCCTTCAAAGGGCCCTGGCTGACGTGGACTGCAATCCTCCTACTTAATGCCTCCCACTTAGCTGGGACTACAGGTGTAAACTGCCACATTTGACCGTGCACATTGTTTTAAAAAGCTTGCTCAGACGGGGGGTGGACAGGATATGCATTTAGCGAGTTGTAAACACAGCATAAAGCACTAACCCTGTGTGAGATGCCAACTCAGATGTCATCTGCAATGCCCACCAGGAACTGATGTTAGGCTCAACTAAACATTCATCCTCACAAGTCTGACCCAGACCACATTTGGCGTGTGCGTACTCAGCAAGATGCAGCGGGAAACATGGCTTCCAGCAGGGAAATATGTCACTTTTCTTCCTATAGAAGTTCTATCGTAGCCATATAGGACACAGAGCTCCTGTCCTTAGCCCTGGGTTACCAAGGAAAAGAGAGTTGCATTGAGTGGGAGTAGGCTTGGGAGCCTCGCATCCCAAGGGCTACAAACTTTTGTAATAGTCTCATAGGCACAGCTTCGAGGATCCTCACAGTCACTTTGCCCAGTAACAAAACAACACACTGAGGGAAGCTCAAAGTTACCATTTCCTGTTGGATAGTTATAGGTTATTCATCAGTCCACCTAATTCAGATGCAGTTTACTCGTCAGGGGTTATTTTTAGCTGAAGGAATAAAAGTCACTTAGTAGCCCAGTTGACACATACCACATTATCTATCAGATGACTAGGAGGATAGAACTAGAGTCTGTTCAAAGTTAAAATGAAAGAGTCAATTGAAAGTTTTTCAAGGGGAAAGGGGGGCTGGGAAGGGGACTCAGTGGTAGAGCTCTTGTCTTGCATGCATGAGGCCCTGGGTTCAATTCGTCAGCACCACATAAGCAGAAAAAGCCGGAAGTGGCCCTGTGGCTCAAGCGGTAGAGCGCTAGCCTTGAGCTGAAGAACTGAGGGACAGCGCCTAAGCCCAGAGTTCAGGCCTTATCACAGACAAAAAAAAAAAAAAAAAGGAAAGAAAGAAAGGGGGCGGGGGAAGGGAGTGGATCTTGGCCGAAATCAGCCCTTCTTTTTATACCTTGGTGGACACATACTTTTGCTTTTTACCTGGAATACTCTCAGTCATGTTGGGGGACAGGCACTAAGGGTTGAAAGAGCTTGTCTTGGCATCTGCTGCTAGCAATATAGTCTCATACACTGCCCTTCTCGAGGGGTCTGCTCACTTACTGCACATGTTCAAAGGGACCTGGTGCAGGGAACTATTGGAATCTTAAGTCCCAGTTAAAGGGAGGAACATGAAGGGAAGGTTGAAATAAAATGATGATGATGATGAGACATGAATGTAAAAGAGTGACTGTCTCAATAACAAAATAAAAGTAATGAAAAAGCCTCAGAAATCTTTGAAGATATTACCCATATGTTTATATGTAATGACTTCTACCATGCAGCAATTCAAAGCCTACCTCATTATCTTGCTAAAAATAAGCCAGAGGAATAGAGTGTCATTTTTTTCAGCATGCAATTAAATAAAATTAGTATTTTTCCCAATTTGAGTTAAATATATCTGCATTCTGATTTTGATACCTGACCTAAGACATTCCATGGTGGTCCATGAAATAAAGGCAGAGGAGTCAAAAGACATCTTCGAACTACTGATTAAAAGTAAAATACACCTCATCAAACCCATGTAAAGTGTATATGATAGTCATAAAACATAGCTACAAAAAACCCTACATTTTTTTTTTTTAGTTAAGGACCCTCAGCAAAGATCAACCAGTAACTCACATGAGTGGAACTCAAAGTTTAGTTGTCCCCAACACATAATATTTCTCCCTATTCTATCTTGCAGGGGTAGGAGAGAAGTTCTAAATTGATTTAGTAATGCATAGAGGGAAATTAGAACAACTACGAACTATTGAGACACATACGTCTCACTTAGGAAGCAATGGGGATGTAGTGACACTGTGGAGAACTTCTGGACCAAAATCTTAAAAAGAAATTCACAGTTGATTCTGGCATATGGCGCTTCTGTTTTCCTGTTAACACGTTTTATAATTTTCAGTGATTTCCAAAGTCCTTTTGTCATTTTTTTTGGTTTTCATATTTATTTCCTGAGGAACTGTGACAATTCTAGAAAATGTGGCTCGACAATGCTACTCAAAACCATAAACTAAGGGGACAAAAACTGGAGCCAAAGTTGAAGCCCTTCCATTTTGTATAGAGACTCTGAAAGTCTATGCCCTAGTGGTAAGCATTAACTGGAAGTAAGTCTTCCTGCATATACTACAGTTAAGTTTATAATCCAAATTTTTAAAAAATAATCTCAGAAACTGAAGTTAGATACTTGATTCTTCAGTAACTTGTCAGATATAACATGTTCAGTTTTCCTTTGAGAAGGTTAACATCACTTTGGACCTCAATTTATTTCCAAAAACAACTTATCACATACAATTGGTAGAGCATAGCCAAAGATACCTTGGTACAAGCAGAGACATGGTACTTGAACAAGCAGTAGCAGAAACAGTAGGTCACAGAAACAACCTGAACACATCTAAAATACTGTGATTCTCAAAAAGCTTGTGTTCACTGTATGGACTTGGAACCTCTTGAATTGTGAAAAAAATTAATTTCTGTGATTCAAGCCACCTAATCTGTGATGTTTTGTTATGTTGAAAGACACAACCCATTTGAATATAGAATTGTAACACTATGCAGTGTACATTTCCAGAGCCTTGTGTATATTTCCAATGAACTTTTTTGCAAGCACACTTGTAACCATATGTATATAATTAACAAATCTGTGCATGCTTATGCCTGGGCACCTATTTTTTGTAACTCTTGTGTAGATTGTCTTTAAACAACGTGTGATCTTTATTTTGAAAAATACAGATCTTTGGAATCAGAAAAAAAATCAAAACAGGGTTGGATGCTACTGTAACAAATATCTACATCTGTAGGAGTAGCTTTATAAAGGGTAACAGGTAGAATGTTGGAGTGTGTGTAGTGTCAGATGGAAATATGCAACATGTTATTGCAAACCTTCCTGAACTGTGTTCTAATCTTTTGTAGAAGGTAGAACATATGAGCAATAAGACTGGATATTTAGCTGAGTAGACTACTAAGCAAATATATTAAAAGACAGTGTCTTCTCCTGGCTGCTTATAGTAAGACAAGAGATGGCCTGACGGGAAAAAAAAAAGTGTTAAAGGGAAAGAAACCAGGTCTGAAAGATTTGAAAAATTCTCAGCCTACTCATACTGCAAAAAAAGAAGCAAGTCTTCTGATGAGAGCATGAGGATGTGGCTGAACAACCATATGAAAAGGAGTTTATGGGTATTATATGATCAGCATACATGACCAGTTTGGCCTGGAGAGACAGAGGGAAGGCTGCTGGACTTCTGAGATTTGATTGGGTGGGATGAAGGAACTTGTCATCATAAGGAAGGAAAACGACCCCACAGGGGATTGAATTGTCGTCCTGGCCATGTCCCCACTTCAGCAAGCCAGCCGTCCCCCACTCTAAGCCCCTTGGTGGTGAGACTCCAGTCCCAGCAGAACTACAAAGGAAGAAACCCTACCTAGAACCATGGAATGGGACATGGCAGAGTCCAAGGATCGGAACCTCCCCACAGAAGAGCAATGGGAATGGTGCTCCTGTGGGCCTGGAAGGAAGCAATTCCTCAGACTTTAATCTCCAATGGCATTTCCCTCACAAGGTCTTAGATTTGCTGGGGACTCATCACTGGCTTCTTGTTTCTACTTTTTCCCTTTGGGAATGGGAGTATCTACGTAGTGCGGGTCTGCCATTGCAATTTGGAAGCCCTCATAAGTTGTCTGGTCTCACAGGCTCACAGCTAGAAAGGGAATGTTGCCTGAGAATGTGTTGGATCTTGAGTCTCATATTTGGCTTGGGTAATATTTAAACAAGAGTTGGGACTTTAGACTTTAGGGCTGATACTGAAACCGGTTAAAAGTTTTGGGACTGTTGGGAATGGAATGAATACATTTTGTGTGTGAGAAGGCTATTCATGCTGGAGACCTTCTAAAATGTGTGTGGTAAAGTCCTAACTCCCAGGGTGATGGTCTTTGATATTATATGTGGTTTGAATATTTTACAATGCACACATTACTAAGTTTTCAGTTAATTGAAAGCTTTTTTTTTCCAGTTCTGATATTTGGAAAATGAGACACTGATCTAAGAGATGTGTGAATCCATAGGTTTATAAATGGCAGAGCTAAGGTATGCCCAGGGGCTGTCTGTCTCCAGTGCATTGTAGCTAGGCGTTTTACTCATTCTGGAAATGAATGTTTGTAAAAGATGGCTCACTCTTGAATATTTGTTCTTTTTTTTTCAGATTGTGTGTGGTTTTTTATTAAGAAGCTGTACAAATCATCTCGAGAACTCCAGTATTCTGTGCTTCTAAGACATGTAGCTCTCATGAGCACGTCAACACGTGCTTCCCGAGGAGAGAGATCTCTTTTCTTAACATGCCCAAGAACCTCAAATGCTTTTCACTAGTAACAGTTGATTGAAAAGCGTTTTGTTCTCTTTGGTGTTTTCTAGATTCCCTCTACTTCAAGAGAAAATTTTTCTTGTGTCTTTTATCAGCATTTTACTCAATATTGTGCTGGCTTGTTGACTCAAACAAAAAGAAATGTGCTGAATATTTCTTACGTTGTTTCGGTTTGTCATTCCTAGGACACTGGAATTATCTATTAAGGTAGAAAATGTGCATCATCCAGCATTTCATCTCTGGGATTTACATCCAACAGAAATACATGAGTAACATGTATGACATGTTAGTTGTGGTGACCTGCAAACTGGAAACCCACATATCCTCATTACTGGAATGAATACTATAAACATGGATGTATTCCTTCAATAGCACGCACCCCAGCATTGAGCATGGGGTATAAGATGTATAGTCACACAACCCACCTAGGGAGCATGTGGAGGGAGGGCAATCTACCCATCCACCACAAACATCAGAATTGAATGGATTTCTCCTCATTCAAAGATGAGCAAATAGAAAAGCAATCAACAAACAAAAACATCAGCAACAAAATCAATTCAGAACCCCTGTAAGGATTTACAAAAGAAAGTCTGTATTACACTGAAAACAGAATAAAAGTTTATCTCACCTGACATTACTTTAAGAAACAGCAAAGATTTTAGAAACACCCAGTGTTTTTAGTAAGAGGTAGAAAAAAAGGTCTTCTTTGGAATCAAATTAGGGAACAATAAAAAATACTGAAAAGAAAAGAAAGTCATTCAAAAAGGATTAATACTCCAATATCAAAGGCTGCAGCTGTGGCTCAAGTCAGTGGTAGAACACTTACAAACACAAGGCCCTGAGTTCAATCCTAGCACTGCATCAGCAACAACAGAAAAAAACCCAATGACAAAATTCATCTATTCATTTGGATACAATGTAAAGAACAGAAGTATCGTAGCAGCAAACAAAATGGGTTTTATTGGTGACAAATTGGCTAAAGATGAAATGGGAAAGAAAGGGCCAAGTGATGAAAATGACTAAGAGATTAGCCCAGGATGACCAATCATATGAGCAATAGAAATTCTTGAAGAAACTACAACAAATAAAATACAAACAATAAGCAGAAGTTGAATTCAAAACAAAAAACTCTGAGCCAGAAAAAATGGAGGCCAGAGATAGTGGTACACACCTATAATCCCAGCTACTTGGAAGGCAGTGATCATAGTGGTGTTGACCCAGCTGTAAGTAAAAGGATTACAGTCCAGCCAGCCCAGGCAAAATATGAGGCGCTATTTGAAAAATAAATTTTAAAAAGGCTGTCATGTAACTCCAGTTAAAACCACGAAGTGATAGAGTACCTACCTAGCAAGCACAAAGCCCTGAAGTCAAACTCCAGTACCACTAAAATAATAATATACCAGATTGTACAAACTTCTAAGAGTTTAACTCGTCCTAGGGAAACTAGCATTAAGGCAACCTTTTATTTCCTCCCAAGGATCACAGATGAACAGAAAAGTACCTTACCAAATAAGATTTTTTTTATTGTTTGTGCCAATACTGGGGCTTGAACTAGGACTTGGTAGTGATTGTACTCTGTTCCTTAAAAACCATAGCCTGGGAAGTAGCACTGACAGCACCCAGGGCCCCTAGTTCCAAGCCCCATGACTGAAAAAAATAATCACACACACAAAAACCCCAACACTAGCCTGAGCTAGGTAAAGAGCTGAGGACTAAACTCAGGGCCTTGCACTTGCCAGGCTAGTGCTCTTCCACTGAGCTGAATCCCCAACCCCACATGAACTCACACTTGAAATAAAGTATCAGAAAGACAAAAGGAGTGGAGGTGTTAGTATTGATGGGACAGAAGGTGGGAGGGGAATATGAAACAGCAGAGAACAGCAGGCCACTTGGAACTAGTTTTGCTTTGCAGGTCAAGTGGTAAGTACTGTAGCTATTTAGCTCTGCTGTGGTAGAGTTAAGTAGCCATAGGTAGCATAAATGAATAAGAATAATTGACTTCTAATAAAAGTTTACTTTTTAATTTTTTTAAAGTTTACTTTAAAAGCAGCAAGATGATTGTGGCCCATGGACCAAGTTTGCTTACCTCTGCTACTATGTAATGATGAACTAAAACTAAAATCCATATGTGCTTTCCAAAAGGATTTAGAGTGACCGCTAACAAAGGGCATTGGAATCTTTATCTAGAAAAACTTCTGTCTGTCTTCCCTAAGTTTTATAGTTAAATATCAAAAAGGAAAAAATAAGTTGAAGTTTTCCAGGAGAGGAAAACATTTTTTCCTGGTACCAGTAACCTTATAATGACTTGAGTTTAAACACTCCAACTTTTACAACCTTTGCTGCTGAAAATAAAAACCACCTGCCGTGTGATTGGAGCTCTGTAGGAATTTGAGGCTAGAATAGTACAGTTTATAGTAATATAAACTCACAGGTGATTTTCTGTGTGTGTGTGTGTGTGTGTGTGCGCACTGGTCTTGGGGCTTGAACTCAGGGCTTGGGTGCTGTCCCTGAGCTGCTTTTTGCTCAAAGCCAATACTCTACCACTTGAGCCACAAAGCCACTTCTAGCTTTTTCTAAGTAGTTTGTTGGAGATTAGAGTCTCATAGCCTTTCCTGCCTGGGTTGACTTTGAGCTGTAATCCTCAGATATCAGCCTCCTGAGTTGCTAGGATTACAGCCGTGAGCCACCAGCAACGGCCACAAATGATTTTTGAGGTTGAAATGTTTGCATACGTGTACCACACCACACCCCTATTTTTATCCTAGCTCAGATTTTTTTTTTTCAAATTCAACTTTGCTTATCATTTCTAGTGTACTTGTTCTGGCTTCTTCAAGAATTACTATTGCTTGTGGGATAGCAATCACACCAGCTCATCCAGGGCTAATCTCTTTGTCTTTTTCATCTCTTGATCCTTTTTTTTTTTGTCAGTCGTGGGACTTGAACTCTGGGCCTGGGCGCTGTCCCTTAGCTCTTCAGCTCAAGGCAAGCGCTCTACCACTTGAGCCATAGCGCCACTTCTGGTTTTCTGGTGGTTAGTTGAAGAGTCTCATGAACTTTCCTGCCTGGGCTGGCTTTGAACTGTGATCCTCAGATCTCAGCCTCTTGAGTACCTAGGATTACAGGTGTGAGCCACCAGCACCTAGCTTGGCCCTTTTTCTTTCCCATTCCATAGTTCACAAATAAGACACATTTTGTTTGCTGTGTTGGTACTTCTTTAAGTTGTATCCAAGTGAACACACTAATTTGTCATTGGGTTTTTCTTGCTGCAGCACTAAGGTTTGAACTTAGGGCCTTGTGCTCTCTGGCAAGTGCTCTGTCACGTGACTTAAACATAGCTGCAGCTGTTGACATTGGATAAATTTTTTTTTAATTGGCAGAAGAAAGAGATCTACAACTCTCACTCACTACCCAAAGCTTATAGCTGGACACGGTTGACCAAAACAGTCATTGTAGGGAACCAGCTGTGTACTTGAGATGAACAAGAAATGGAAGCCTTCCCTGAGGTTCCGTTGGAACAGCACAAATCTGCTCCTTGCCCCCTAACTCCTACCCACTTCAGTCCCTGAGAATGGTGGTTTTCCAGTGTAGTGTTAGCTTTGGGGGTGGGTGTTGAAAATCTAACCTAAAATTGAATGAGGCATCTTGAAAGGAATGACATTTTCTCCACACGCTTGGCTGAGTGGGAATTCTACAGATTAATCCAGAAGGTAGAAGGAAAGAGAAGGGGAAGATTGAATACAACTGGAATCTGTAGAAAGTGAACAGCAGCATGATATGCCTGAATTTTTAACATTCATTAAATGTTATTGGATTAAACACTTGAAATCATAACGCACAAGTTGTTAACATGTTTTTCTTTGTTGTTTTGGCTTTGATGGCGCTGATATTCAAACTCAGAGTCTCACACTTGCTAAGCAGGAACTCTACCACTGAGCCATGCTTTCAGCCATTTTTTGCACTGATTATTTTGAAAGAAATACCTTTTTTTCTGGACTGGCCTGAATGCCAGTCTTACTATTTATGCTTCCTGTTGTAACGGGGGGTGGGGGGTGACAGGCATACACTACCACACTAGTTTCTTCCCTTGAGACAGAGTATTAGAAAAGCCATCTTCCTTGGACTGGCTTGGAACTGTGAACCTCCTGATGTTAGCTTCTCAAGGAGCTAGCAGTGTAGGCAGGTGGCACCATGCCTAGCTCAAATGTTATGTGTTTTTAAAAGCAGAATCCCAACTATATGATTTACAAAAGATGCCTTTAAATATTACATCAGAGAATGAACACAAATAGAAGGAGAAGATGAATGAGGAAAACATGACCATTACAGTGTCTCTGCAGCTTGCAAACAAAACTTCAAGGCAAGGAGGACTTCCAGAGACCCGGAGAGTGCGTCATAAAATAGCAGAATAGCTAGAAAGTCTTCACAGACTTTTCTCTCAGGCTAGCTTTGAACTAGGATCCTTGGATTGCAGCTTCTCAAGTAGCTAGGATTACAGGTGTGAGTCTCCAGCATCCATCCAGCAACAAGACATTCTTGATTGATTACCCGGTTAATTAACACTAAATGTAAAATTCCAAATCACTTTTTAGCATTTATAACCATGTGTGTGTGTGTGTGTGTGACACAATTATCTCTCTGCTATCAAAATGGTTTTATCTTCATCATGACACTTGCCATCATATATGTTTAAAATTTTAAATTTACATTTCACACATTTGATTGGCAACTTGTAATAAACTAAATATAAGCTTCATTTAATAGTGATGATGAATCTCAGGGAAAATGTGAGTGGGTTCTTTTTTTTTAATAAAGGCAGAATTCTAATTAAGCAGTGTCAGTAAAAACCACATTAGAAAGAATTACAAAGAAGTGAAGCTGTGGCTCAAAGCAGTAGTGCACTAGCCCTAGGGAAAAGTGCTCAAGGACAGTGCCCAGGCTCAAAGTTCAAGTCCAACCAAAAAAAAAAAAAACTAAATTACTAATCTGCTACCAATGCAATTTGTTATAACATAATCTAACAGACAGAACTTCTGCCATCAAGATTATGCCAAACACATCTCCATTGCTATAACCAACACCTGCAGTAATAAACTTATAAATAGAATAGGTTGCTTTGGTACACTGTTTTGGAGATTTCAGTCCACCACAAGACAGCATATATATTGTTGCAACTGAATGGCAGCGAAAAATCACCTTGGTTCCTCAGGTTCCTCTTATCCCTGTTGGGACACTGCTAATGACCTAAAAACCTCTTATTAGACCCCACCTCTTAAAGTTTCTTCTTATTAGACCCCACCTCTTAAAGTTTCTACCACCTGCCAATAGCACTTCCTTGTGGGCCAGGCCTTTAACACATGGATCTTTGTGGGAATTCTAGATCCAACACGTAGAAGAGATTAGAACTGAATGGGAGACTAAGTCACAGACAGCATACTCTGCTGTGGAATAGCATAGTATAGATCAGGTGAAAACAAAGTGTTCTGAGACTCTGAAATGATGGAGATTGGGATTTCAACCACAGCAAGGGTAATAGTAGAGTCTCAAACAGCTGGAGCTCAGTTTTAGTCTTCTTCCTAAGGCCCATTGCTGGAACTTGCCATGTCTAAAAAGGGAAAATTTGTGTCACTCCTCTATGATAAAACGGAGCCACTTCCAAAGAAGAGGTTCCTCCTCCTACTCTTCTTGAGACCTTGCTGCTGCCCCCACTAAGGATAAAAAGGAGAATGTTCCTCAAAGATGGCCTCCAGAGGCTCTGACTCTGGTCCTTGGTCCACACCCAGGGAGATGTTGAGAGATTTGAGAAAGACCACTGGCAGGCTGATAAATGCTGGTTTTACTCCAGATTATACCATCCATGCATGACTCCGTTAGTTAGATCCTTCAGCTTTTGATGTTTAGGGCTTGTTGTTGTTGTTGTTATTGTTTGGAGGCTTTTTTGTTGTTTTGTTTTGGTGCTGATCCTGGGTCTTAAACTCGGGGCCTGGGTGCTGTCCCTGAGCTTTTTCTCTCAAGGCTAACACTCTACCACTTGAGCCACAGTTCCACTTCTGGTTTTTTCATGTTTAATTACAGATAATAGTCATATTGCCGGGTGCCTGTAATCCTAGCTACTCAGGAGGGTGAGATCTAAGGATTATGGTCAGAAGCCAACCCAGGCCGGTAAGTCTGTGAGATACAACTTCAATAAACTACTCAGAAAAAGCCAGAAGTGATGCTGTGGCTCAAGTAGTAGAGCACTAGCCTTGAGCACAAAGAGGCTCAGGGACAGTGCCCAGGCCCTGAGTTCAAGACCCAGGATTGGGGGAAAAAAATAGTTCCATAGCCTTTCCTGCCCAGTCTGGCTTCAAACTGTGATCCTTAGATCTCAGCCTTCTGCCATTGGTTGAGATGGAGTCTCCTGAACTTTTATACCCAGATTGGCCTCACACTGCAACACCCTTCCCCCAGCCCCTCACAATCTCCACCTCCCAAGTAGCTAGGATTTCAGGCTTGATCCACTGGCACTTAGCAGTACTTACATATTTAAATATATTTATTTATATATTTAAATGCAAATATTCCTGGGAAGAAGAGAAAATATTTGATGAATCCAAAGCCAAGAAGGTACGTCAGCTTTTCAGATCTGCTTTGCCACAGTAGAAATGGGGGGGGGGGAGGAGAGTATCAGGTACAATTTCACCTACTTTCCCTAGGTGCTTGGGTTTACTTTAGGCCCTGGAGTCTGGGAGCATCAATACGCTGCTGTTGTTTAATAACTGGATGCTTTGGTTTTTCTCCAAATGCTGCCATGACTAACATAGACTCTGTAGTTACCTACTAGCAAGGCTTGGCAGTCCTGCGATCTAGGGCACCTCACACTCAGAAATAAAGCCAGGCCCTTGTGAGTCGGGAGAGATGGGAGAGATGATGCCAGCCTATGCATCTGATCCGTAACTCCAGCACTAATGGCCAGCTGCCTTTCCCGAGCTGGGATCCTGCCCATTTTGCCCTGGGTGCGGACCTGCCTGGCTCCTTTCCATCATGGAAATGAAAATCCTTGGTGAATTCTTAACCCTTTTCAGCCTTCCCATGCCCTTTGGCTGTGACCTTCGAATCTGCAGCTTCTCTGAGGTACATCCAGACCTAGGATATTGCCCTCAGGCTATGTCTTGCTACCCAGATCACACAAGACATGCTGTCTCCACTGAGAAGCAAGTTCAGTATTGCACTTGTTCTGGATCCTTCCTGCCCAAGGCACCCTCCTGGGCAGTTGAGATTTGTGTCAACCTTTGCCAGTCCTGGTGGGACCCGGATGAGAAAATTACCCTCCAAACTTTCCCATGAGTCCAATGTCTCTGTTCCTGATCAGTTTCTGTCTTGAAATTGGAGTGCAGGTAACACATCTGTCTTATAGCCATCCCCTGCTGTCCTACCTCTGTTTCCCTTCCTCTCACATCAACATCCCAGTGACAGACACTGTCATAATTTAGTACTTGTCTCAATTGTACCTGAAATAATACTGCCCAGGAAGGTAGCTTAGACCAAGGAAGAACTCTTAAGGGAACTTTGCAGCCAGATGCCAGTGGCTCATGCCTGCAATCTTAGTAACTCAGGAGGCTAGATCTGAGGATTGTGGTTTGAAGCCAACCAAGGTAGAAAAGTCCATGAGACTCTTATCTCCAATTAACCACAAAAGGCTGGAAGTGGAGCTATGGCTCAAGCAGTAGAACCCTAGCCTTGAGCACAAAAGCTCAGGGACAGCATCCAGGCTCAGAGTTTAAGCCCCAGGACTGACCAAAAAAAAAAAAAAAAAAACTTTGCTCCCAATTGCTAATACACAGAGACTTTGAAAAGCACAGTTGGCCTAGAATTACTTGGGCAGAGTGGACAGGTGTACTGCTCCTTTACTTCAGTGTTTGACAGGAAAGACAAGTGTGAGGGGGGCAGAAAAAAAGGAGGGGTAATATAATGAGAGTAAATACGGTAATCTGTTGGTTTGCTAGTTCCTAGCTGGACTTGGGACTTAGGAGTGCCAAATGGAGCCACTTAGAGCCTACATTGGACCTGGGCTGAAATGCAGGTGAGAGACAAGCCTAGCTCATATCCGGAGATGCCATAGCTGAGGCCAACACAGGAAAAGGAAACTGTCCTTTCTTCAGCAGGTCCTCAGCCTCTCCCTGCCAGCCCAGCCTTCACTCCTACAAAATGTGAGCAAAGCTGAGACCCCACTGCACCCAGTGGCCGTGCTGCGCTTCTGGTTGGTCCTTCACCTCCAGTGTTCGAGGTGACACCCAAAGAAGTGAGAACAAAGCAGCTGCACCCCAGCAGGTATGGTCTTTCTTTACTGGCTTTTACTGGCGGCCAACTGCCCTCCAGCTCCTGCAGAAGGGGTCGTGGGAAGGAGAACGTGTCTCACACAGGAGGTCAGCAATGATGGGCTGGGAAGCTTGGGGGCGTTGCACTGCCCTAGTTCCTCGGCTGAAAAAGAGAATGAAGACACGTACTGAATATTGAGCTCATGGCCCCTGCTTCCCTGGCCTACCCTTGCCTCTGAGAGGAATAAGTGCAGTAGATGCTAGAGTGGGTGGCTATGACTTAGCTGCGATGGACTGGAGTCCCCTAACCGGAAAATAATATTGCTCTGGCCTGTGGGAGCCAGGATCAAGTTACCCTGGATCCTCTGGGCTCATGTGGGTGAGGGTCAGCAGCCTCCGGTCCCAAGGACAGCAACAGGACAGTCACCAAGCCTCGCCACTCCTTGGAGGTCCCTCCCAGCCCTGTCACAACCAGGCACAGCACTGTGGTTGAGCTTTGGAGGTCTGAGTTTCCAGCTTGTATGGGGGGTCACCTTGTTCTGCAGACTGCCTCTGTCCTGAAATGTTCCGTGTCCCCAGGCTCTCTGCCTCCTCCCCTCCAGCACAACCCCTCCTGGCCACGTTGATAGCCAAAAGCGCTTCCCTAAGACCCTTGTAAATCTAGTGTGGGGCAGAAGACACCTCCAAGGCCACTGAGCCCTTCCCAAGTCAGAGGTGGGTCTGGGGCTTCTGTAGAAAGGCTGTGTGATGCTGCTGCTGGGCGGGTGAGTGGTCTCCACCCAGGTGGAAGGTTATGCCTGATCTCCACTAAGGTGAGTCTAAAGTATTCTGAGGTAGGCCTCAGAGACTATAGCTTATTTAATTAGTTGGCTAATAGAAAAGATGGGTTTTCTGTACATGAAAGCACTTAAAAATATATTAGTTATACACTAATCTTAGTCTAAACCTGAGATTCTCCAGCTTTAAATTCACAGGCTAAATCTGTCCTTCCAGTTGTTTTATTTTTATCAATAAAGTTTTATTGAGACACAGCCATGTTCATTCACTATGCATTGTTAGTGGATACTTTTGTCCTACAAGAGCAAAATGGTATAGTTGCACAAAAGATGGGATGGCCCACAGAGCCAAAATTGTTAACTATCCAGCCTTTCAGAGGAAGCATTTATAGCTCCAAGCAATCAACTTGATCCCAAATTATTCCAGAATAAACATCATGGGCAACCAAAAAATTAGCTATACTCTTTCTTGTAGGTATTCACTTTTTGAATTGTAAAATAATAATTACATGGCCCTGGAAAAATGGCAAAGCAGGGTGGATAAAACTAAATTCTCCTTTGTTCACCTTGTTAATCCTGACCTCCTTTTCGAACAAAAGTAACCAGTGTACTGTGTTTCTTACCCTTCCACACATGTGTATGCATGTACACATGTGTGTGTGTATGTGCTGGCCAATGTGTTTTTTATCATGTCTTCTCATTCTCTCTTGCAATCAATAGCACAGCTTGGGGATTATCCATGTCTGTATGGAGCTCTACTTCAATAAGTGTACCTGCCGCCTAAGATTTCACAGTATAAAATCACTTCATTGAGCCAGTGCTTCGTGACAGGTATTTAAGCTGTTCTGATGTTTCAGGCTTATCACTGGCCCATATTTACATATGTGGCTGGCATATGGGGTATGCTAGTGTTTCTCTAAAGGAGACACTGGGGAGTTGAATCTCTTCATTGCAGCTTATCTGTGGTTTGATTTTGGAGTTGTCTAGCAGCTCTCCTCTGTGCCTAGGTCACCCTACACCTTGTCAGCAGAACACTTGATGTCTATTCTGTAGTTCATTTTATTCCCTTGGATGAATAAAAATGATGACCTGTTTTACTTTGTTTTATTGATGGCCTACTATTATAACCTCAATTGCAATTGAGGTTGAACATTCTTTTCCTTTTTTTTTTTTTTTTTTGGTGCCAGTCTTAGGTCTTGAACTCAGGGGCTGGGTGGTATCTCTGAGCTAGTGCTCTACCACTAGAGCCAAAGCTCCACTTCCTGTGGGTTGTTTTTTTTTTTGTAGTTAATTGTAGATAAGTCTCACAGATGTTCCTGCCCAAACTGGCCTTGAGCTAAAATCCTTAGATCTCAGCCTCCTGAGTAACTGAGATTAAGAGGTGTGCCACCAGTGCCCAGCAAGAATTCTTTTCATGGAATTCTTGGTTGTTGTATTTCTTTGACTTAAATGTCCTGCTCATGCCCTTAGTTTATTTTATATTATGTTTTTTACTTATTTGTAGGAATGATGGATTGATTGATTGATTTTATGGTAGTGAGGATTGAACCCAGGGCCTCATGCACAGTAGATATCTCCTACCCCTCACTCTACACCTGAGCTACATCTCCAACATTTCATTACCTATTCTTGATGTGGTAATCCTATGACACATATGTATCACTTCTTTTTGTTGTTATAGAATATTTGTTTATAGAATATTTCTAGTTGATATAAATTTTATTACTGTTGTTCTGGTTGTTGTTATTTTGAAGTCACTAAATTTGTTATTTTCCATCTTTGTGTATTTTGGTCTGTGGAGCTTATTTCAGGAAGCTCTCTCAGCTTCTGAGATTGGGAAGGTATTTGGCAAACTTTCTTGTAATACTTTAATCACTTAAACAAAAAAAAGAGTCAATCCAGGCTCTATTGGCACAATCCTAGCTACACAGAAGGTTGAGACCTAGAGGATAGATGTCCAAAGCTAGCCTGAGCAAGATAGTCCACGAGACTCTAATTCCAATTAATCAGCCAAAAGCTTGCCTGTAAATATGGCTCAGTAGTAGAGTATCAGTTGAGCAAGCTGGAGATGCTGAGTTCAAAGCCTGATACTAGAAAAAAAGATTGTTCATCCTCATGTAACTTATTTGAATGAATTACTTCAGTGTCATTTATGAAAAGTTTATCTTTTCCCTATTTATTTTAAATATCCTCTATTATGCAGAGGTGACATGTTATTCATCATAGGAATTCCCACTTATACATGTGGGTGTTCTGTCTTTTTTATTTATTTCCTTCTCTTGAGGAGCTTTTACCTACCTTCTTTCTTTTCTTTGTCTTTTCTTTCTTTTTTTCTTTCTTCTTTCTTTTCTTTCTGTCTTCCTTCCTTCCTTCCTTTTTTTTGTTTTTGTTGGCCTAGTTGCTGTCCCTGAGCTCTTCATCTCAAGGCTAGCTCTCTACCACTTGAGCCACAGCACCACTTCTGGTTTTCTGGTGGTTTATTGGAGATAAGAGTCTCACAAACTTTCCTGCCTGGTCTGGCTTTGAACCATGATCCTCAGATCTCAGCCTCCTGAGTAGCTAGGATAATAGGCATGAGCCACCGGCTCCCAGCAAGCTTTTACCTTTCTAACTGTTCTTTCTCTTAGCAGAAAACCTATGTAGTCTGATATTTTATCAGTTGCTTTATTGAATTCTCTTAATGGGAATGATATTTTCTTTTTGGAATTTGCATGTAGACAATCATATTATCTAACTACAGTGAGAGGGTTTTTTTTCCTCCCTTCCTTTCTTACTTAGCTGAAGAGGATTTTGCCTTATTGCATTTCCTTGGCCCTTAAGAACACTGCTGAACAACAATCCTGGCAATAGGCAGTCAGGGTCGATTTATACCATTGTGTGGGTTGTACACTTTACAAGTCTATGGTGGATTGTTCACAAAAACTTAGATGTTTAGGTATTTTTTGTAATCTGCCTAATTTGAGTCTCTTTTATTTCATATTGTGAGCTTGTATTTCTTGGAGCCTTCTCTGTTTCCTTGAGCTTAGGGTTGAGACTATGTTCCTCCAAAGGATTTGTATTTACCTTTGCCAGGAGTAGGTGGCTGCTGGTCAGAAAGTAACAAAGCTGTCTTCTACCCTTTGTTCAGGCCTGTAGGAATGGCTAGAGGTCTCCCTGAGTTTTCTCTGTCCTCTTCTCACCACTCCTCAATCTTTCAGAGAGCAGTACTTTGGGTTTTTTTATTTGCATGGTGATTGGTCTCAAGTACATAGCAGAACTGTGGGCTCCTCATCAACAAGATCAGTGACTCAGGAAGGGGAGCAATGCTGGTTCAGACTGTGGATGCAGTTGCTGGCTCTGTTCTCTGAGCCATGCATCCTAGCCATGTTCCCTTACTCCAGGTATTGTGTGATGCATGGGGAACATGGGAACCCCCCATCCACACACACTTTGTATTTAGGGCTGAGATTGGGCAGATCTCTCTGTCTCCCAGAACCTGCTCCTCTGCCCACACCTCCTGCACGTCTATGAAATGCTTTAACAAGCCGTAAAAGTGAGAGAAAGAGACACAATTTACTCTAAGTTCCAAACAAGGGAGTCAAGGTATAAAACGGCAGGTGACAAGAGCACTACACGAACTGAACTGGGCTAGGCAGTCAATTCAGATGACATTGTGGCCTGCTGGACACTGGAAACGGGGACAGAGTGTACTCGTGAGCCGATGCCAGCTGCCACCTCTGATCCACACAGCCTTCTGACCTCGTGGGTCTGGTGACTGAGTCCTGAAAGCACAAAGGCCAACTTCTATTTATGGTCACATGAAGGTATCAGATGAGCTCTCTTACTTGAGTCCATAAACTGTGACGTTCATTTATTTATTATTAATATCTTAATTTTTCTAGCTGAATGATCCCCAGAGCCAAAGAGGAAGAACACTTTACTCATTGTATATACTTGAACCATTTCAAAAGAATTTTAAACATATGATCTCATTTTACCCTCACCCCCGTCCCTGGAACTGTGTGATAAAATGTAAGTTAGGTGGCATATCTGCGTATAGTATAGAAAGAATCAGAATCAAGCAGAAAGAGAAAAGGTCCTGCTTACTGGCTTTCATCACTCAAGCCATTCCAGCACCCTGCAGGCTTCTTTATCATTCCCACTGCACTGCAGGGGGGAGCCCTGTGGCTTGCAGTCTGTAGGTTACTGGCCTCTTCATGTGAGGCTGTGATTTCAACACAGCCCTGTGCATAAGTGACTTAATAAATTCACCAGTCTTCTCCCTGTATTGGATGAAGCCAACAGTTTCATGCTTCTCTTATAATCCATCTAGTCTTACATTATTTCCCCCTTCTTTCTTTTTTCTCCCTCTTCTTTTCACTTAGGATCGTCTCACACCAAATATACACTGAACAAATAACTGTTTAATATTTATTTGTCAGTTGTGGGGTTTGAACTCAGGGCCTGGGCACTGTCCCTGAGCTTTTGTGCTCAAGGCTAGCGCTCTACCACTTTGAGCCACAGTGCTACGTCCAACTTTCTGGTAGTTAATTAGAGATAAGAGTCTCATGGATTTCCATGCCTGGGCTTTGAACTGCGATTTTCAGATCTCAGTCTCCTGAGTGGCTAAGATTATAGGCATGAGCCACTCGTACCTGGCCCAATCACTGTTTAGGGTGTGGCTTATTTCTCTTGTTTGTCTTCTTGGCTCCTCTAGCTCTAGGACAAACCAAAAAGATTTTTTTTTCTTTCATGCCAGTAGTGGAGATTGAAATCAGGGCCTGGGTACTGTCTTCAAGCTTTTTTTTTTTTTTGCTCAAAGCTAGCACTCTACCACTTGAGCCACTCCTGGCCTATTGGTGGCTAATTGGAGATGAATCACATGGACTTTAGAGCCTAGGTTGGCTTCGAATTGTAATCTTCAGATCTCAGACTCCTGACTGGCCTGAGCCACTGGTGCCCTGCCAAGAAGATCTTCTCCATCCCATCTTTTCTGTGTGCTGTAATTTTCTATGTGCTCACCTGGATTTCTTAGGTCCTTACTCCTCCAAGTAGGATCTGTATACTGGTTCCATCAACATCGCAGAAAGATTGCTGGAAACGCAGGAGCCTTAGATCTCACACCTTTGAACTGGAAATTTGCCTTTTAGAAGCTGCAAGGTGGTTTGTGATGAACTGCAGAGTCAGCTCTGAGATTTTAAGCAAAGGCTCCAGGTTGACTTCAACAGTGGGGATTGTGATGTAGAAACCTCGGCTGCTCATACCCTGGCTGCTCAGGAATTCAAATGTGGTTCAAAACTGAGATCATTCAGGATCAATGTGGCGGGTGGACCAGGCTACCTCTGTATTTCTTGCTGTGGTGCTTTTCACGCTGGGTGCTACTTTCCCTCCCATTTCCTTTCTGCTGCCTCTGTGCCTCCAGGTCTTTCCCTTCTCACAGCTGGCTTCACATCTGCCTTTTTTCCTGTCCTGTGTGCTCTGACTGCCATGCACAGGCATAACCGAGCCTGCTGGCACTCAAACCAGACTTACAGTTTGGTTTTTCCTTTCAGTGTCCTTTAAACATTTCCTCGACAGTTATTTACTCATTAAAATAGTTAAGTGGTGGGGAAATACATATAAGAAAATGTATTAGCTTAATCATTTGTGTGGGGGTGGGGCAGGTGTGGTATGTACTGGTATTGGGGTTTGAACTCAGAGCCTGAGTGCTGTTCCTTAACTTTTTTGCTCAAGGCTCAAACTCTACTACTTGGAGCTACAACTCCATTTCCAGCTTTTTGGTGCTTAAGTAGAGAATGATTGATTTGGTGATTGATTGGAAAGCCTCAAAAGCTTTCCTGGCTTTGACCTGT